TTTGCTCAGTTAGCCACAGATGGAAATCTATCAAAGTGGATGCTAAGAGTTGCCCCTGATTTTATAGTATATAATGAATTAATCCGTCAGTCAATCTGTAGGAATGTCCTGCAAGCGCATGGACCCTAAATTCGCATAATACTTTAAGCCATTTAAAATACAGGTAGTTCTCGACTTGCAACAGTTCATTTAGTGACTGTTTGAATTTACCACATCACTGAAAAAAAGTGACAACCGTTGTCGCATTCCCACAGTCATATGATCAAAATTTGAATGTTTGGCAAATGATTCGTATTTTATGACGATTGTCCTGGGATCGTGTGACTCCCCTTTGGCAAGCAAAGTCAGCGAGGAAGCCGGAAGCAGATCCCAACGGTGTTAATAATGTAACAGCTGCGGTGATTCACTTAACAACGGCGGCAAGAAAGGTCGTAAAACGGAGCAAAGCTCCCTTAAAAACTGTCTCGCTTAGCAACGTAAATTTCGGCCTCCATTGTTGGTTGTAAATTGAGGATTTCGGACCTGTATGGACTGATCTGCTTTAATGTGTGTTGTGGATGCAAAATATTGGTTGCTTGTTGGATGAAAACAAGCAAATTTAGGAGAAAAACATGGAATAATATGAAGATAGCTTACTAAAAAGCAGAGACATCACCCTGCCGACAAAAGTGCGTGTAGTCAAGGCGATGGTTTTCCCAGTTGCAATGGATAGCTGGGAAAGTTGGACTCTAAGGAAGGCTGAGCGCCAAAGAATTGAGCCTTTGAACTCTGGTGCTGGAGAAGACTCCTGCAAGACCCTTGGACTTCAAGGTGATCCAACCAGTCGGTCCTAGAGGAGATCAGCCCTGACTGCTCTTTAGAAGGCCAGATCCTGAAGAGGAAACTCAGATACTTTGGCCACCTAATGAGAAGGAAGGACTCCCTGGAGAAGAGCCTAATGCTGGGAAAGATTGAGGGCAAAAGAAGAAGGGGACGGCAGAGAACGAGGTGGCTGGATGGAGTCACTGAAGCAGTCAGTGTGAGCTTAAACGGACTCCAGAGGATGGTAGAGGACAGGAAGGCCTGGAGGAACATTGTCCATTGGGTCACAATGGGTCGGACACGACTTCGCGACTAACAACAACAAAATATGAAGTCCTGTTGTAAGCATTTGCTGGCTGGGAGTCTAACCAGGTTTGTCTGCAAGCAACGTTTGGCTGCAATTCCGCTAGTTTTTCTTATTCGAAAGATCCCTGCTGGGAAGACATCTGGCTTGCCACTCATACATGAAGGTGATTAAAGAACGCAATGTGGGTGTAACACACCACGCATGAGACTTCTCTTACGTATTGGAAGTAGTGATTGCCATGCAGTCAAAAATATTTGACTGCACCCATGTACCCATGTAAAAATGCCTTTGGGGCACCGGGTGTGGTCCTGGACTCATCGGCAGAAATGCTATCGAGTGCCTGGTTTCTGATTGATGGAGGATGAGGTTCCAAGAGACATTTTGTGCCTTGGTCTGGTAGAGTTTTCTCCTTATTTCCCCAACTTTGTAGTTGACGTAGAAATCCTAGTCTATTTTCTTCCTAAGAATGTAGACCTAGATTTTGCTTGGATCGTCTGTTTTGGCTTGTTGGTTAGATCTGTGGTGTGTTACAGTGTCCTTAATCTGGATTGATAAATCACATGCCAATCAAACACTTGGGAAATAGTTTCTTCTTTAGATCTTCTTCAGATCTTCTTCAGATCTTCTTCAGATCTTCAGACTTCTTCTTTAGACCTCTAAATTAGTTCCATCCCTCTCGAAACCGAGACTATATGCTTCAACATGGTCATCTCCAAGTAGACCAGATCAAGAAATACTACAAGAAGTATTTTGATTGAGACTGGCTATCATACAACATAGAATCATAGGGTTAGAAGTTGAAGTCCAACCAACTGGAGATGACCAAGATTGGAAATGCTGTTCCGATGAGGGGGTCTTTTGTGCTCTCTGAGTTTGGTTGTCTTTCTTGGTTCTTTTCTTCAAACACCTTCTTACTAGCTCTTTTTTTAAGAATATATTTTTATTGTTTAAATATAAAAAATAATGAATACAGTGCAATTGTCCTGGCATTCCACTTGCCATGAAACAAAGGTAAAAACAAACTTAACATATACTATTTTAAACAGTGCCAGTGCTGTACAGTTATATCTGACCATCATATTCTAGAGTATCAAATTTATCTTTCATTCGAATACCTACCTTCTAATACATCTATAGTATCTCTTTCCATTTCCACCTAACCTGATTCTATCGCATTCTAACTTCCACCTTGTTAGGATATGGTTTGAGCCTAACAAGTTGTCCAGACAATATGTGTGTTCTGTGACTTTAATATGAATATGTATTGTGTGACTTTACAGGTTTCCTGCTGATTCATTGTAATGCTGAGTCATGCTGTACTTAGATAATCACTAGTTGTAAACGTATTTTAGAAAGGTACTGTAACGTATTCAGTTGATGATAAGCTACCATTGTGTGTGGAGTTGCTACCATTGTGCTATCATCGTTGGATGGATCTGCTACCATTGTGGTTTGTGAACCAGAGTGAAATTGTTATTCTAACCAACTACTGTTTGTATGGTAAGAAGATTCTTGTATCACTGGACTGATTTAACTGGCAAAGACTTGGATTGATTTAAAGACTATGAGATTGTTTTGTCACTATAAAGTAAACTTTTTTTTTTTAAATTTGATTTATATGCCGCCCTTCTCTGGAGACTCAGGGCGGCTTACAGTGCGTTAAGCAATAGCCTTCATTCTTTTGTATATTTTATACAAAGTCAGCTTATTGCCCCCACAAACTGGGTCCTCATTTCACCTACCTTTGAAAGGATGGAAGGCTGAGTCAACCTTGAGCCTTGGAGAGATTCGAACCAGCAGAAATTGCAGGCAGCTGTGTTAATAACAGGGTACACTAAACCACTGTACTATCAAGGCTCATACTTTTGATAAACCAGTTTGCACATCTCTTATTCATTGCTCTCAGCAACGTTTCTCTGTTGCTCTACACTCTGCTGGTTGGTAACTCAACAACAATATCCTTAACATACCTTGTGCTTCCAACCATTGATAGAATCTATTCCACAGAGCATAGTATTCTGTGTCCCCTTTATCTTTTATTTTTAACGTTAGTCTGTCCATTTCCGCACAGACCAGTATCTTCCTTATTGTCTCATCCTCTGGAGGGGTGTTTTCACTCTTCCACTCCTGCGCATACACAATTCTTGCTGCAGTCAAGTCCAGTGTTGAAGGATTCTCATTCCTTACCGTATTTTAGAAACACAAGGAAATGGCCTCATTGTTGTGCAGAGAACTGGATACCTGATGCAACTTTATAGGGATTTAAATCTAATTGTTTGGCCGTAACTCGTGTGTGTGTGTGTGTGTGTGTGTTTCTATCGAAGCACCTGGTCTACCCCAATATGGAAGGGAGCATACTGCTTCCCTTTTTTTGCCTTTCAGCTCCAATCCAGGAGCCCTCAAGCAGTCGCGTTCACGACAAACCATTTTATACCAAATTTATATTTGCTGATAAAGAAATAAAGGGAGAATAGTATAGATCTATTTCAAGCTATTTAGCTCTCATCAGCTATATATTTGTGCAGGGTGGATTTGATTTAAATCGAGTTGATTTAAATCACAATTTAAATCATGATTTAAATCACTAGTAAAAAGGCTTGATTTAAATCAACTCGATTTAAATCATAATTTTTAAAGCACAACTGTCATCTCTGCTACTCCTTTGACCCACTGTTGACTCACCGATAGTCCCAGTGTTGCAGAATATACAGCCTCATGCTACATAACTAAGCTCCATTTCATGCTGAATAAACTAAATTACTTATGTATCTTAAATAGAAAACTATCTTACGATAGATTTTTACCCCAAAAGTTTTTTATTAAAATAAATTCGATAAAAATCAAAAAAATCCGATTTAAATCAAAAAATCCGATTTAAATCAAAAAAATCTGATTTTTTTTTATTTTTTAAAAAAAATCATTGATTTTTATCCACCCTGTATTTGTGTATCTCGCAAAAGCGACAAATGTTGCCCTTTTGTAGCACCAAGTAGCGTTTGTTATGCCAACAGAAAACTAGGTTGAGTTTTGTATGTATCTGTTAATGCTTGTTACTTTTAACTAATCAGATCTTTTTACAGTATCTGCATATTATGTAATGGCTTATTTAGGAAAAAAAAGAATCTTATAGTTAGTACATCTTAATATATGCAGCTGATTAAATGTATAAATTAGTGTAAAATTCTTGAATCACTTGTTTAAGTACTGAAACACAAGCTGTTTAGGAAATGAACAGGAAACTTGTGAAATGCAGTGTGCTAGCAGCACAAGTCCAAATAGAGACAGTTGTCAGGTTTCAAGGTCGTCTCAACTAAATTGCATTTCAAACAAAGTCTTTGATGAAAAACTCCCATTTATTAAGCACGACATTCTAATTCCGACTCCATCGTAGCCAACACTGACTTCCTGACCCAAAACCTTCCCTTTCCTTTCCCCACTCCTCTGCACTCATTGGCCATCTTCCAAGTCACTCTACCCCTAATCTACTGCTCCAGCTCAAAGGAATTTCCCCCCTCCCATCCCATCTCCTAGGGGATATTATCTCCAGGGAAAATAAGTAGGTGAAAAGTCAAACGTCCCTTTCCAGACGCCTCTGCTTCTCCTTCTTATGTCAGCACTAAAGTAAATGCAGCTTGAAGTGCTGACAACAGTATTCTGTACAGTAGAAGCAAGAATTATGTAAATTTTTTTTTTTTATTATTTAAGAGCCAAAAAAGCTTCATCTCCTTAAAAAATATTATCTGGCTTATTTGTAGTGGAAAAATTTTCAAGTGCATGATTTTGCGTGGCGGACTGTTGGACTTCATAAACTAAATGCAGTTTTCAAAAGGAAACAAAAAAGAAAAGAAAAGAAAAGTAAAAGAAAAGTGACTGTTGCGTATTTTCATTGCAGAACTCTCTATTGTGTAAACGAACTGATGGACGAAGATGAGAAGGACAGGGCAAAGAGGTAAAAGAGTTGGGGGGGAAACTGTTTGTGTCCTACGGAAGCCAGAGGCTGAGCTATTTCCTTCTGAAAATCTTGCAGTGATTGTGTTGTTTCTGATAACAGCAACAGAACAAAATCACAAATGAAGGCGGCTTCTTTGCCGCTTCCTGGGAGTGAAAATGAGCAGCGGGGCAGGGTGGGCTGCTCCCCCCATGCCCCGTTGTAGGCCTAGTAGGCCTCTTTGCAGCCTCCTGGGAGTGAAAACAGGTTGCGGGGGGGGGGCGTGCCGTTCCCCTCCCACCACGTTTTGGGCCTTGTAGGCCTTCCTGCACTTACCTGGGAGCCAAAATGGGCCGCATGGGGACTCCTGGAAGGGGCGGGGCAGGGAGGGGAGGGGCCAGCCAGCAATTTAACTACCGATTCACCCGAACCGGCCAGAACCGGCTGAATCTCACCACTGAGTCAGTTCAGAGATTTTTTTTTTTTTTTTGGTCTTCCCAGCTTTTGAATTCGTGCTGGAGCCCATCCTCAGGGAACGTCTCCATCTCCAGGATGTGAGATTGGAGATTTCTGATCTCCGTCACATTCTGGAGATGGAGAAGTTCCCTGAGGATGGGCATCAGGACGAATCCAAAAAAACTTGGAAGAACGAATTTCTGCTCCCAGTGACCGACTCAGATTGGCTTCTGCTGAACAAAATCAATAATTAATCTTTCGATCTGTGGGGTACATAAAACCAGGTGCAGAACCTTGGTTGAGTTGGTCATGCACCATCCCAACATTTTTGACCGTACCTTGTGAAGGACATCCTTGCCCTTGTAGATTTGCCGGCGGAAGAGGAATTAAGTTTTCACGGCAACTTTGTGCTTCCTTTGAGCAGGGCGTCACGCAACAAATCAGAGAAGAAAAGAAGAGATCAATTCAATGTCCTCATTAAGGAACTGTGCTCTATGCTTCAAGGCCACGGGCATCCCCTCAAGATGGACAAATCCACAATCTTACAGAGGACCATCGACTTTTTACGGAAGCAGAAAGGTACGTGGACCACAAGGAAACACCTTGACCCCTTCTCTTCTTATTACTGTGGTACATTCTGTATTATATTTTTTTAAAAGCGGATCCTGAGCTTGGAAAGGTGAGTGATGGCCTTTCCCGCTTTGCTTTTCCCAGGTAAACAAAACCAAGCACCCTCTAATCAGTGGTGGGACTCAAATAATTTAACAACCGGTTCTCTGCCCTAATGACCAGCTGGGTGGGCGTGGCCATGGTGGGCGTGGCCAGGGGTGTGTGTGACAGGCAGCACTTGGCCTCCTGCATCCCCCCCGGGAGCAAAAACGGCCAATCGGGGGGCCACACCGTACCCTCCCGTACCCCATTTTTGGCCTAATAGGCCTCCCTGCAGCCCCCTGGGAGCAAAAAAGGGCCATGGGGGAGCCGCACCATACCCCCCCGCACCCCATTTTGGGCCTAGTAGCCCTCCCTGCACTTACCTGGGAGCCAAAACGGGGTGCGTGAGGACTCCTGGAAAGGGCGGGGCGAGCCAGCAATTTAACAACCGGTTCGGCCGAAGTGGTGCGAACCGGTTGAATCCCACCACTACCTCTAACTCTGGGGTTTGAGAGTGTGCATGTTTTCCAAGAAGAATAACAGAATCACAGAGTTGGACGGGACCTTAGAGGTCTTCTAGCCCAACCCCTTTGCTCAGGCAGGAAATCCATTTGTCCCATTTCAAACAAACGGTTGTTCCAATCTCTTCTTAAAAACTTCCAGTGTTGGAGCATTCAAAACTTCCGGAGGCAAGTTGTGAATGTTCCACTGATTCATTGTTCTAACTATCAGGAAATTACTCCTTACTTCTAGGTTGCTTCAAAGAATGACTGTATCTTTTCCTGTGAGTAAGGGGGGAAAACTCGTTAAGTTTATTTCTTCTTTTACACTAACAGAGGGGTCTGCAACCTTAAACACTCAAAGAGCCATTTGGACCCGTTTCCCACAGAAAAGAAAACACCGGGAGCCACAAAACCCTTCCCGTGCCTGACTATTTCTTGAGCTAGCATATGTTGTTGAATTAAATGTTCTGTTTTCTTCTGAAACTTTTCTTTTCTTGGATTTATCCATGGTTGGCCTACCGGGGGTTGAAAAGCTCAATAAATTGCGTGTCGGTGGGTGTCGCACATTGGCGGTTGTGACGCATATTTTGAGCGACAGGGAGCCGCAGCAGAGGGGTGAAAGAGCCACATGCGGCTCCAGGTTGCTGACCTCTGCACTAACATGTGACTTTATAAATCTGTCGATGTATCTCCTGAGTAAACCTAATAGTATTCACTCCCCCTCCCTTTGTTTTCTCAGTTATGGTAGTAAGATAAAATCAGACTGGTTTCCTAGAGGAAGATCGTTTCCTGAAGGAAATGCCACTTTTTTTTTTTTCTTAATCCAATTGCTTTTCTCCTTTTTTTTCTTTTAGAAATCTCAGCCCAGACCGAAGCCTGTGAGATTAGACAAGACTGGAAACCCTCATTTCTAAGCAATGAAGAGTTCACTCAGTTGATGTTGGAGGTAAGATGTCATTCCATTGAGGACTTGTATACTGCACGAGCAGTGATGAATCCAAATTTTTTTACTACCGGTTCTGTGGGTGTGGCGTGGTGGGCGTGGCAGGAGAAGGATACTGCAAAATCTCCATTCCCACTCTACTCCAGGGGAAGGATACTGCAAAATCTCCATTCCCACCCCACTCCATGGGAAAGATGCTGCAAAATCCCCATTCCCTCCCCACTCCTGGGGGAAGGATATTGCAAAATCTCCATTCCCAGTTCACTCCACGGGAAGGATACTGAAAAATCCCCATTCCCACCCCACTCCTGGGGGAAGGGTACTGCAAAATCTCCATCCCCTCCCCACTCCTGGGGGAAGGATATTGCAAAATTCCCATTCCCACCCCACTCCTGGGGGAAGGATATTGCAAAATCTCCATTCCCACCCCACTTGGGGGCCAGGCAGAGGTGGTATTTGCCGGTTCTCCGAACTACTCAAAATTTCCGCTATCGGTTCTCCGAACTGCTCAAAATTTCCGTTACTGGTTCTCCAGAACCTGTCAGAACCTGCTGGATTTCACCCCTGCGCACGAGTCAAAAACACCGTTATATTTGTGGTAGCTAGTGCTAGTTGCATTGTTCATTTATTCAGATGTAAATAGACCATCATTGGTGGTCAGTGCTGAGAGACCTGAAGAAGTTAGTTCAGAAGACTATCTTCAGAAGATAGTTTCTGAAGAATCCATCTCTTATCCATGCCTTGCGGCTGGCGCAACTACAAAAGTCCATCTTTGTGCGGTGTGTCGTCTGAAAAATTGATAAATTTTGCACACTAAATTAGAAATATTTAGGACTTTTGCTTACAGTAGTAGAATCTGCCATTTAGCTGGTTTTCCTTTGGTACTGTTCCTTAATGAAAATAAATATTCCATGCATAGAGACAGAAATAATATTTTCTATATCCCGTTTGCTTCATTCTTTTTTCCCTGCCAGGAAGGCATTTCATTACATTTTAAAGCAGGGGTCTCCAACCTTGGCAACTTTAAGACTTGTGGACTTCAACTCCCAGAATTCCTCAGCCAGCTGAGGAATTCTGGGAGTTGAAGTCCACAAGTCTTAAAGTTGCCAAGGTTGGAGACCCCTGTTTCAAAGCAACTTCTGTCACCTTTTGTGAACTATTTTCTGCATCTTTTCCACCACGGTAGTGGAGGGTGTGGCCTGGCCTAGAATTACTGCAGTTTTGAATATTTCCTTCTCATAGAGATCCAGTGACTCACCTTCTTTAGAAAAATCTGTTTACTTCCCATTTGCCAATGGCTCTTCACCGACTTGCAATTTAATCCGAACAAGCTGGGGGAAAAAACAACAACCCATCTTTATAGGTTTCACTTGCAGATGGTTGTTTCAAAAATATCTTGGCTTTGCAATCCTGCTGGCAATTTATTTTTCATGTCCTTTTCAAGAGTCAACGGTTGTCCTCTCCGATTTAGGGGCGAAATATACCAGGAAGCAGAAAGAAAGAGAAAGAAAGAAAGAAAGAAAGAAAGAAAGAAAGAAAGAAAGAAAGAAAGAAAGAAAGGAGGGAGGGAGGGAGGGAGGGAGGGAGGGAGGGAGGGAGGGAGGGAGGGAGGGAAGGAAGAAAAAAGGAAGGAAGGGAAGGAAGGAAGGAAGGAAGGAAGGAAGGAACAAAGAAGGAAGGAAGGAAGGAAGGAAAGGAAGGAAGGAAGGAAGGAAGGAAGAAAAAGAAAAAGAAAGAAAGAAAGGAGGGAGGGAGGGAAGGAAGGAAGGAAAGGAAGGAAGGCAGGCAGAAAGAAAGAAAGAAGGAAGGAAGGAAGGAAGGAAGGAAGGAAGGAAGGAAAGGAAGGAAGAAAAAGAAAAAGAAAGAAAGGAGGGAGGGAGGGAAGGAAGGAAGGAAGGAAAGGAAGGAAGGAAGGCAGAAAGAAAGAAGGAAGGAAGGAAGGAAGGAAGGAAAGAAGGAAGAAAAAGAAAAAGAAAGAAAGAAAGAAAGAAATTTAAAAAATGGAAACTAAGCTTCATCCCTCTCTCTCTCTCTACCATCCATCCATCCATCATCTGCCTGCCTGCCTGCCTACTATCTGTCTATCTATCTATCTATCTATCTATCTATCTATCTATCTATCTATCATCTATCTTATCTATCTATCTATCTATCTATCTATCTATCTATCTATCTACTATCTATCTATCTATCTATCTATCTATCTATCTATCTATCTATCTATCTATCATCTCTTGCTTGCTTTCTATCTTTCATCTCTCTGTCTCTCTGTCTCTCTCAACTATCTGACTCATTGTCGGTCTGTCTCATTGTCTCCTCTCCCTCCCTCCCTCCCTCCCTCCCTCCCTCCTTCCTTCTCTCTCTCTCTCTCTCTCTCTTTGAGACAAACGGGGTTACTGTACCTTCCTCAAATCAAGTCAGCCAATTCTTTTGTCTCGTGGCCCAGAAAAACAACACAAATAACACACTCCCTTCTCTCGTGCTCTGTTGCTAAAAATATAATACCAACAAATAATTTGGCCGCCTTCTCTGGAGCCCTCAAATCTGCTTCTTCGTCTCCTGCTCAATAGCCAGAGACTGATTTTAATACTTTAATGCTGAGCTCTCCTGCCAGCCTTCTAACTTGAATAAAGTTTCAAAAATTCCATTGAAAATTTAACTTTGAAGTAAATGGCCGAGAGGCTGGGATGCGTGCTGTTTGTTCCTATATTATGTCTTTTTTTCCTCCTCCTCCTTCTAGGCATTAGACGGGTTTCTCATTGCACTAACCACTGACGGGATTATTATTTATGTATCCGATAGTGTCTCTTCGCTCCTTGGACATTTACCGGTGAGTTCTAACTGCACAATATCTGAACCAGTAGTGGGATTCAAATTTTTTTACTACCGGTTCTGTGGGCATGTCTTGGTGGGCGTGGTATGGCTTGGTGGGTGTGGCAGGGGAAGGATACTGTAAAATCTCCATTCCCTCCCCACTTCAGGAGAAGGATGCTGCAAAATCCCCATTCCCTCCCCACTCCAGGGGAAGGATACTGCAAAATCCCCATTCCCACCCCACTCCAGAGGAAAGATACTGTAAAATCTCCATTCCCTCCCCACTCCAGGGGAAGGATACTGTAAAATCCCCATTTCCTCCCCACTCCAGGGGAAGGTTACTGCAAAATCCCCATTCCCTCCCGATCAGCTGGGACTTGGGAGGCAGAGAATAGATGGGGGCAGGGCCAGTCAGAGGTGATATTTACCAGTTCTCCGAACTACTCCAAATTTCCGCTACCGGTTCTCCAGAACTGGTCAGAACCTGCTGAAACCCACCTCTGAACTGAACGTCTCTTGGTTTTACTACATTTTTGCACCCTCACTGTAACTCTCTTGTTGAACACCACAAAATTCTTTTGTCTCAGTCAGATTTGGTGGACCAAAATATATTAAATTTCCTACCTGAGTGTGAACAGAACAACGTGTACAAGTTACTTTCAGCCCACATGCTTGTGACCAACACAGTAACCTCTGATTTTTTGAATGGTAAGTGTGGCATTTTGCTATTTCCAGCAAAGAAATTTTAATTTTCCTAAAGCAATTTTCCAGAAATGGTTCAATAGCACCAAAGGGCTTAAGAAATAAGATTTAAATATGAATGTAAAGCCAGAAATATTCTTGTTAGGCATAGTGCCAGAAAAAAATACAATAAAAGGAATATATCAGAGGTTCATATCAGAGGAATATATTTCATCATGTTCTGACCAGTTCTGGAGAACCGGTAGCGGAAATTCTGACTGGCCACGCCCCCATCTATTTTCTGCCTTCCAAATCCCAGCTGATCGGGAGGAAATGGGGATTTTGCAGTAACCTTCCCCTGGATTGGGGAGGGAATGGATATTTTACAGTATCCTTCCCCTGCCCCGCCCACCAAGCCCCGCCCACCAAGCCATGCCATGCCATGCCACGCCCACCAAGCCACACCCACAAAACCGGTAGTAAAAAAACCCGAAACCCATCACTGGAATATATATTTAATATTACATGTTTTGACAGCTGCAAGAATTGTATTTGCACAGTACTGGGAAAAAATGAGGAAACTCCTACGGATGAAAATATAATTAAAAAAACATGAGAATGCGCAGAAATGGATAGATTGTCACTCAAGATAAAAGATAAGGAAGATAGAGAATACTTTTTAACATGGGGTTTGTTTTATCGATGGTAGTTAGACAATAGAGGTACAATTTAGAAGATGAAAGATCACGACCAGTGGTGAAATCCAATTTTTTTGTAGTACCGGTTCTGTGGGCGTGGCTTGGTGGGCGTGATTTGGCTTGGTGGGCGTGGCAGGGGAAGGATACTGCAAAATCTCCATTCCCACCCCACTCCTGTGGGAAGGATATTGCAAAATCTCCATTCCCACCCCACTCTGGGGCCAGTCAGAGGTCGTATTTGCCGATTCTCCGAACTACTCAAAATTTCTGCTACCGGTTCTCCAGAACCTGTCAGAACCTGCTGGATCTCACCTCTGATCACGACTATGTACAAGTGAAGGATGATAGATTATCACTATGTATAAATAAATATTACTATTAATTTCAGTTCAAACCTTTATTGTCAATGCACAACATGTGTACAATGAGATTGGATTTTTTTTTTCAATTCAATATTATTATTATGTATAAGTAAATTGACCCAGACAATATACGGTTTATTAAGTACTTATGTATACCAAAGAAAAATGTATAAATAAAATAAAATATAGAAATAAGAAAAACTTTCTCTTGTGAGCCCCTAGATTTTAACCTAACCCTAATTCTGAATCTTTTTTTTCACAAGCCATCTTGCCAGCAACCATTCTAACGTTCCATCCAGTCCAATTCATGATCGATATACAGAACGTTTTGAGTTGCAAACATGGGGTTGGACTAGATGACCTCATGGGTTGAGGTTGACAATTCATTGATTTGTATTATTCAGCAAAACCTCTTTTCGGTCTCTTTCAGCTGAAAAACAAATCGAGTTTTGCTGCCACTTAGCCCGAGGAAACTTGGATCCGAATGAGGCCGTTACATACGAATATGTCAAATTTGTGGTGGATTTCAAACCGTATTCCCATGGTAAGATGATGCTTCATCCCTGGAGGTTTTTAAGAAGATACTGGACAACCATTTGTTCCAAATGGTATAGGGCAAAGGTGTCAAACTCAAGGCCTGGGGGCCCGATCTGGCTCACGGGGCTGCCCTCGAAATAGTGAAGGACCGGCTCGTGATGCCTCTGCCAGAGGAAATGGAGCTCAGGCTCCCGGCAGGGGTGAAATCCAGCAGGTTCTGACAGGTTCTGGAGAACCGGCAGCGGAAATTTTGAGCAGTTCGGAGAACTGGCAAATACCACCTATGGCTGGCCTCACCCCCATCTATTCTTTGCCTCCCGAGTCCCAGCTGATCGGGAGGAAATGGGGATTTTGCAGGTATCGTTCCCCTGGAGTGGGGTGGGAATGGAGATTTTGCAGTATCCTTCCCCTGGAGTGGGGAGGGAATGGGGATTTTGCAGTATCCTTCCCCTGGAGTGGGGTGGGAATGGGGATTTTGCAGTATCCTTCCCCTGGAGTGGGGAGGGAATGGGGATTTTGCAGTATCCTTCCCCTGGAGTGGGGTAGGAATGGGGATTTTACAGTATCCTTCCCCTGGAGTGGGGTGGGAATGAGGATTTTACAGTATCCTTCCCCTGGAGTGGGGTGGGAATGGGGATTTTACAGTATCCTTCCCCTGGAATGGGGTGGGAATGGAGATTTTGCAGTATCCTTCCCCTGGAGTGGGGTGGGAATGGGGATTTTACAGTATCCTTCCCCTGGAGTGGGATGGGAATGGAGATTTTGCAGTATCCTTCCCCTGGAGTGGGGTGGGAATGGAGATTTTACAGTATCCTTTCCCTGCCACGCCCACCAAGCCCCGCCCACAGAACCAGTAGTAAAAAAAAATTGGATTTCACCACTGGCTCCCGGGCTCAGTTTTCACTGGCAGAGGGCTTCAGGAGGATTCCCCCAGGCCCGCCCGGACCACCACAGGTGCCTCCGACATGAATGATGACAAGCTGGCCACACCCACCCTGGCCACGCCCCCCCCGAGTTCAAACACAACCCTGCTGCAGCCCTCAATGCAATCAAGTTTGACACCCCTGCTATATTATCTCCTGCTTGAACTGGTGGGGATGGACTAGCAGACCTCCAAGGTCCCTTCCAGCTCCCTTCCGATTGATTGAAGATGTTTTTGGCATTTCTTTTTTTTTTTTGCTTCTTAGTGCCCGCGTCGTCCTTCAACGGCTTCGAGTCCCCCGTGGCACGGGCGTTCCGGTCATTCAGTGACACCCAGGTGTGTCTAGTCGCAACGGTCCGTCTCATTACTCCGCAGTTCTTGAAGGTGGGCTGTCTCTTTGCTAAGTCCTAACTGTAACCAGATAACGTAATCCAGGGGCCTTGGAGAAGAGCCCGCGGAATGAGCCCCGCGGAAAGCTTTCCACGGGTTCTGCATTCAGAACCGTCAGGGGATAACTTCATGAGGAATACTGATGGAGATTCTCCATCATCCAGGTCAGTGGTGGGTTCCTCCCGGTTCGGACGAACCGGTAGCGGTGACGATATGACGTCACCGAACCGGTTCTTTTTGTTCGGGAGCTGCCCGCCCCTGCGTTATTCTTACCTTTTATTTGGCCCCGCCCCCAATCTATTCGCTGCCTCCCGAGTCCCAGCTGATCGGCTAGAAGGAAAAAAACTGTTTTAACTCTTGCCGCGGGGCTTCAAAGGGCCGCCCTACAGCTGATCAGTGTTAAAAGGCAGTGTGGTGGTAGACCGGTGCCTCCAAAAACAAATGTGTAGACCGGTGCCTCCAAAGGAGCTCTGGTGGCTCAGCAGACTAATTAACATCCACTTACATCTGCTGCCTGCAATTACTGCAAGTTCAAATCTCGCCAGGCTCAAGGTTGACTCAGCCTTCCATCCTTTCTAAGGTAGGTAAAATGAGGACCCAGATTATGGGGGCAATAAGATGACTTTGTATAAATATACAAAAGTATGAAGGCTATTGATTAACGCATTGTAAGCCGCCCTGAGTCTCCGGAGAAGGGAGGCATATAAATCAAATTTAAAAAAAATATATGGGTAGACCAGTGCCTCCAAAAACAAGTGGACCGGTACAGCTCTGCAAGCAGTTAAAAGCCTAGTAGACCAGTACCTCTGCTAAATCCTAAAGAATTGTCACATGACCATCAAGCCACGCCCACAAAATAAGCCACGCCCACAGAACCGGTAGTAAAAAAAATTTAGAACCCACCCCTGATCCAAGTCATGGTTGTCCCAAAGGTGATTTTTTTTTCAAGAGGAAATGGGACTTTCTGGTTCTTCTTTGAAGACGTTTCGCTTCCCATCCAAAGAAGCTTCTTCGGCTCTGACTGGACGGTGGGGAATGGAAGGATTTATCCTCCTTGTAGACAGCTGGTCATTTGCATTGTTTTAGAGAGTCGTTGAGCCATCTATGATTGAACAGCCCTCTCTCAACAAAAGGATAGTGGGGGTAGGACATCATCTATCTCCAATCTACAACCTGGTCCTTTCAGCATTTCCAAGAAGGTTCCACACCCATTTGGAGCCTTCTAAAAAGAGCCTTGGTGGCACAGCAGACTAAAGCGCTGTTAAGTAGCACCAGCTGCCTGCAATTACTGCAGGGTTCGAATCTCGCCAAGGCTCAAGGTTGACTCAGCCTTCCATCCTTTCTAAGATAGGTAAATTGAGGACCCAGTTTGTGGGGGCAATAAGCTGACTTTGTATAAATATACAAAAGTATGAAGGCTATTGCTTAACGCATTGTAAGCCGCCCTGAGTCTCCGGAGAAGGGCGGCATATAAATTGAACTAATAAATAAATAAATAAAATAAATTTGCACCACTCAGGTGACCCTAAGGACACAGATAAATCTCCAAGTGGCCTCAACGGCTCTCTAAAAGGAATGCAAACCACCAGCTGTCTGCAAGGAGTATGAATCCTTCCATTCCCCACCATCCAGCCAGAACTGAAGAAGCTTCTTGGATGGAGAAGCGAAATGCCTTCAAAGAAAAACCAGAAAAGTCCCGTTTCCTCTTGAAAAAGCACCTTTGGGACATTCATTAGGGATATCATTTTTTGGAGTAAAGACATTTATAAAATGTCAAAATGTTCAAGACCCTCCTTCAGGGGGAAATAGGAGCATATTCTAAGCAAGGGAAATTTTCCCACCTCTTGTTTTTTTCTCATCTAGTGCTCTTTCTGTTTATCTTAATATGGAATGGCTTTCCGAAACGTGGCGATAGGGCTATGCCATCTCAAGGAGAGGGCCCCACGTGACTTTTTGATAGAGATAGGATTGAACTGCAGGTTTAGAGTTGTATGGAAGAAGGATGAAACGGTGGGATCGTTCAGATGGGGAATGGATAGTTCTGCCATCTTCCCGGTGAAGCGTTCTTTGCCCATAGGAAATAAAGCCAAGTAAAATTACAAATGAGAACAGCTCTCAGATGGAGAATAAAGGTTATGGTATAGGAATAGGGTTAGGAAAAAAATAAATTGCACAAGTTTCGGTTTGTCAAATGGATCATTTGTTTCTGGAGCGTTTCATCGATATGAGAGAGAGAGAGAGGAGAGAGAGAGAAAGACAGAAAGACGGAGAGAGAGAAGGAGAAGAGAGAGAGAGAGACGAGAGAGAGAAAGACAGAAAGTCAGAGAGAGAGAAGGAGAAGAGAGAGAGAGAGAGACAGAAAGATGGAGAGAGAGGGAGAAGGGAGAGAGAGAGAAAGACAGAAAGATGGAGAGAGAGGGGGAGAAGGAGAGAAAGAGAGACAGAAAGATGGAGAGAGGGGGAAGAAGGGAGAGAGAGACAGAAAGACGGAGAGAGAGAGGGAGAAGGGAGAGAGAGAGAAAGACAGAAAGATGGAGAGAGGGGGAAGAAGGGAGAGAAAGAGAGACAGAAAGATGGAGAGAGGGGGAAGAAGGGAGAGAGAGAGAGAGAGACAGAAAGATGGAGAGAGAGGGAGAAGGGAGAGAGAGAGAAAGACAGAAAGATGGAGAGAGGGGGAAGAAGGGAGAGAGAGAGAGACAGAAAGATGGAGAGAGGGGGAAGAAGGGAGAGAGAGAGAGACAGAAAGACGGAGAGAGAGAGGGAGAAGGGAGAGAGAGAGAAAGACAGAAAGATGGAGAGAGAGGGGGAGAAGGGAGAGAAAGAGAGACAGAAAGATGGAGAGAGGGGGAAGAAGGGAGAGAGAGAGAGACAGAAAGACGGAGAGAGAGAGGGAGAAGGGAGAGAGAGACAGAAAGACAGAAAGATGGAGAGAGAGAGAGAGACAGAAAGTGACACAGAGAGAGAGAGAGAGAGAGGAGAGAGAGAAAGGCAGAAAGAGAGAGGGAGAAGGGAGAGAGAGAGAGAGAAAGAGGAGAGAAAGACAGAAAGATGGAGTGAGTGAGTGAGTGAATGAGAGAGAGAGAGAGAGAGAGAGAGAGAGAGAGAGAGAGAGAGAGAGAGAGAATGAAGACCAACTGCCTAACCATGTCCTCTGCCATCTCTTTGGGCAGGAAGTTTGTAACGTGGAAGAATCCTATGAAGAATTTGCCTCACGGCACAGCCTGGAGTGGAAGTTCTTGTTTTTGGATCACAGGTAAATTGGTTCGGTTTATAGTTTCCGAAAAGGGTAGAAAATTGCTTGGGGGTGGTGGTGGATGGGAGAGAAGTATGGTGTCTCAAAGGGACGTCAAAAATCCATTCATCCCTCTCCCGCCCTCTGTCTGCGCCCTCCATCCCTCTGCCCCTCCGTCTGTCTGCCCCTCCGCCTGCCCATCATTCTGTCTGTCCATCCGTCCCTTCTCCTGGACTCTACTGTCTGTACACCTGGCCATCCATCCATTTTTCCGCCTTCTCTTCTGTCCGTCCAGCCGCTCCTCTCCATAGGTCCATCTGTCTGCCCGTCCCTCTCTCTCTCTCTCTCTGTGCCCGCTTCAATCGGATGCCTGCAATTTGCCTTGTAGATGCCACCTTAACAGAGCTGTGGTCCTTCTGAATGGTCCTGAATTCAGCACAATTCACACAATTTGTTTATACAGGAATGAGGTCCTGGATTTGTGGCTTCTCTGCCAAGCCAGGATTCCTCCTGATTGCTTGATCCTAGCCACGAATCCTGGTCCTTTGCAGTTGGACCAGATAGTATGACCCTATATATGTATGTATGTTTATTTTCCTTTCTGTCTCTATGCCTTTATATATATATAAATATATATATAGCCAGGTTTTACCTACGTAAGCTAAGGTGTTATACAGCCCTGGTTCTGTGAAATCTCATTCACAGTCAGCAAGAAACAAAAAGCCCAGAAACTTGTGAATGAGATTTCACAGAACCAGGGCTGTATAACATCTTAGCTTACGTAGGTAAAACCTGGCTAGAAAGAATATGCACATAAAAGCCTACGAAAAAGAAAAAGATATATAAAGAATATGCACATAAAAGCCTACAAAAAAGAATATATATATATATATATATATATATATATATATATATATATATATATATATATATATATATATATATATATATACATATATACATATATACATATATACATATATATATATATACACACACACACATACATACATACACACACACACACACACACAGACGAATACAAATCTCAATTCCATCCTAATTGTTCCTTCACTTTAATGGATGTGCTTCAGGCAGAGCTGAGTCATTGTTTTCCTATTTGAAAACCCTACCAAGAATTTTTTTTTCTTTCTTTTTTTTTTAATTCCAAGAAGGACAGGAAGTTACAAATATCCTGAGCAATGAATAAGATGAAAAGGGTTGATAGATAAATACTTTTCAGGTTGCACAGCCAGCCTCCCTTCTCATTATTCAAACAGAATAATTCTTTTATTTATTTTTTGTCTTTCTTCTTGCTGCTTAAAGCTTTCCCCCCCCCTTCTTCTTTTAAACAGTACGGCCAATTCTGAAATCCACAAGACCCTGCGGATGCTGCAGCGGTCATAACTGTGAAAAACGGTCATAAGTCACATTTTTTCCAGTGACGTTTCCCCGAAAATAGGACCCTGTCTTATATTTTTTTGAACCCTGAAATAAGCGCTTTATATTTCATATAAATTAAATAATTTATATAATTTAAATATTTTATACCTCTCTCTCTCTATATATATATCATCTATCAATCATATCTATCTATCTATCTATCTATATCAATCATATATATATAGCTATATATCTATCCATCTTCTATCTATCCAGCTCTATCTATCTCTCTGTCTATCTATCCATCTATCCATATCTATCTATCTATCTATCTATCTATCTATCTATCTATCTATCTATCTTCTATCTATCTATCATCTATCCATCCATCTATCCATCTATCCATCTATCCATCTATCCATCCATCATCTATCTATCATCTATCTATCATCTATCTATATCTATCTATCTATCTATCTATCTATCTATCTATCTATCTATCTATCTATCCATCTCTGTCTATCTGTCTGTGTATCCATCTATCCATATCTATCCTCTATCATCTATCTATCTATCATCTATCCATCCATCTATCCATCTATCCATCCATCTATCCATCTATCTATCATCTATCTATCTATCTATCTCTATCTCTGTCTGTCTGTCTGTCTGTCTGTCTGTCTGTGTATCCATCTATCCATATCTATCCTCTATCCTCTATCCATCTATCATCTATCTATCTATCTATCTATCTATCTATCTATCTATCTATCATCTATCTATTCTCCCTCCCTCCCTCCCTCTCTCCCTCCCCCCCCCAATTTAGTTCTGCCTCCGGGGCCTGCGTTAACTTCTTGACTCTATATATATTTATTACCAGGAAGCAGATGTCTTTCTATTTACTATGCAGATACGCTGGCCTGTTCTTAGGTGTAATGAGGGCAATTATGCAATGTTTATTGTGGTTGTTTGTTCCCAGTGTTTGCCACTGTTGGAAGGTAATTTCTCATCAATAGCAACCTTCCCTGGATAAGCATCGCGGCCTTCACACAAGGCATCTCAACTTCCTCCTCCAATGTTCTTCGTGAAAATGGATGACGACACATTCATTGTGGGATAGTTTGGCTTACCTGTTCAAGAATACATTCTCCAGACATCAAAGCCCCAACTTTTAATAATCATAGCTTTTTTTTCCTCCCTTTTCTATTCTCCTAGAGCTCCACCAATAATCGGCTATTTGCCCTTTGAGGTTCTGGGGACATCTGGTTATGATTACTACCACGTGGATGATTTAGAACTCCTTGCTAGATGCCATGAACACCGTAAGTATCTTCATTCCTTGTTCCCAAAGAGTCGCCTGGGCCATAACAGCAACTGACCATGTCAGTTAATCCTTAGTTGGGTAACCTTTAGCATGAATGATGGTCTTAACAACGTCTTCCCATGGAGTGAACCAAGTCTTTGAGTTCTGCAGCTGTTATCATGTGAAACCAAGATTGAAGGATTGCTTCTATTAACTGTTAATTTATTGTTGAGTTGCTTCTGACTAACAAGTTTCTTTAGTCGGCTCCCTAGATTTTTCAATTGGGTGAAGGTCTGGGCTATAAGATTATCTTGAAACTCCCCCCAAAAAAGTGGTGTTATTAGCCATCAAACCTCAAAAATACACTTTCCCCAAAAGCTTTCCACAATTTTGGCCACTACTGTAATTCCCTCTTCCTGGAGTCACTGTTCCCAGTGGCATTACTCCTGTGTCTCTAATAAACCTTGGATGGACATCCACAGAACAGGGCAATGCCCGGAAGTAGAACGCAAACCAGTGTGTGCCAAGCAGGGTTTAACACAGGATTTTTATTGTTGTTGTTTTTCATGCCCAGTGATGCAGTTTGGCAAAGGCAAGTCCTGCTACTACAGATTCTTGACCAAAGGCCAGCAATGGATATGGTTACAGACCCATTATTACATCACCTACCATCAGTGGAATTCCAAACCCGAGTTCATTGTGTGCAGCCACACAGTTGTTAGGTAAGCACGCAAACGGTTTGCCTGCCCCTAACAAAGCCTGGAGCTTCCAACGTGTGTCAGAGTTTGCTGGAGCGAGCAGTTATATAAAACGATTGCGGTGAAAATCGGGCTGCGGAGGAAGAGGGGAAAAGAGCATTTTAATTTTTTCCTGTCGGAGGCAGCAGAAAGCTGAAAGCAGTTATTCGGAGGGTCCTCGGTTTAATGACAACAGTAGAGACTGGGGAAAAAAATCCACATTAAGGCGTTGGGTTGTTGAGTGAAACATGCTGGCTGGGGAATTATGGGAGCTGAAGCTCACACATCTTAGCAGCTGAGGCTGAGAAACACGGATCTAAAACGTGGTGTGTAAAGTCAAGTCAGACCAAGACCAGATGTTATTATAAAGTTTATTTCTGTTAACCAGAGTTAACCGTGGTTTAAGGTCCAGAAGCAAAATTAAATACGGGTTATGAAAAAAAGAACAGAGGAAGAGGTGTTCATCTATCCTAATCTGCAAATATAAGTTGCCTGTGTCAGTTGTCCAGGTTCATTTCTAATTTCTAAGGAGAAATTTCCTGACAGTGAGAACAATTAACCAGTGGAACAACTTGCCACCAGAAGTTGTGAAGGCTCCAACACTGGAAGTTTTTAAGAAGATGTTGGCTAAACATTTGTCTGAAGTGGTTTAGGGTTTCCTGCCTGGGCAGGGGGTTGGACTAGAAGACCTCCAAGCTCCCTTCCGACTCTGGTATTATTCTATTCATGTATGTGAGAGGGGTGCCTATATAACAGTCTTTTCTCTAGAAAATAGTAGGCCCGTTCTTTTTATTCTTTTAATTTGTGGTCTTCTCTGTAGGATTTTTGGTGATTAGGAAGAGAGAGAGGGAGAAAGAAAGAGAAGAAAGAAAGAGAAAGAGAGAGAGAAAGAAAAAGAGTGAAAGAAAGAGAATGAAAAAGGGAGAGAGAGAAAGAGAGTGAAAGAAAGAATGAAAAGGGAGAAAAAGAGAAAGAAAGAAAGAAAGAAAGAAAGAAAAAGAGTGAAAGAAAAAAGGAGAGAGAAAGAGAAAGAAAAAAGGAGAAAGAGAAAAAAGAAAGGAAAAAAGAAAGAAGGAAAGAAAAAGAAAGAAAGAAAGAAAGAAAGAAAAAGAGTGAAAGAAAAAGAGAGAGAGAAAAAGAGAAAAAAAGAAAAAAGAAAGAAAAAAGAAAGAGAAAGAGTAAAAGAGAAAGGGAGAGAGAAAGTAAAAAAGGGGAGAGAAAAAGAGAAAAAAAAGAAAGAAAGAAAAAGAAAGAAAGAAAAAGAGAGAAAGAAAAAGAGTGAAAGAAACGGAGAGAGAAAAAGAATGTGAAAGGGAGAGATAAAAAGAGAGAAAGAGATAGGGGAGAGAAAAAGAAAGAAAGAAAGAAAGAAAGAAAGAAAGAAAGAAAGAAAGAAAGAAAGAAAGAAAGAAAGAAAGAAAGAGGATCTATATCTTATATCTTCTATAGCTTTTCATAATTTTCCTAGTTTTTCCTGTTTACTCTGATGTATCTTCTATCTAGGCTATTAATGACTGTCCCCCGCACTCCTTACGCTGGACTATGACCATAATAAATATTTGATTTATTAGTCAATTGATGCATTATTCTGCCTTACTCTTTCATCTTTACCCTTTTTTTAAAGCTACGCTGAGGTTCGAGCCGAAAGGAGGAGGGATGTCGGCCTGGAGGAATCTTCTATCGAATTGGCCTCTTCATCCTTAAAGGTATTATATATTCCAAGAAAATCTAGTAAGAGGTTTTTTGTGGCGGTTCAAAGGATTTGTGGAAATGGGAAACTGACGTTTTGGATGAAAAAAGGAATATGAGATTTTCTTTCAGGTTTCTTTGTATTGGTTTCAACCTTCAAACATATCAACACTGCGGCTTCTGAAATGCCCCAAAGAGGTTTTTTGGTCCTATAAAGCTTTCTTTTTATAGGGAAGCGGTGGCTCAGTGGCTAAGACACTGAGCTTGTCGAGCGAAAGGTCGGCAGTTCAGCGGTTCGAATCCCGAGTGCCGCGTAATGAGGTGAGCTCCCGTTCCTTGTCCCAGCTTCTGCCAACCTAGCAGTTCGAAAGCCCGTAAAAAATGCAAGTAGAAGAAAAAGGGACCACCTTTGGTGGGAAGGTAACAGCGTTCCGTGCGCCTTTGGCGTTTAGTCATCCCGGCCACATGACCACGGAGACGTCTTCGGACAGCGCTGGCTCTTTGGCTTTGAAACGGAGATGAGCACCGCCCCCTAGAGTGGGGAACGACTAGCACATACATGCGAGGGGAACCTTTACCTTTACCTTTAAAGCTTTCTTCTGTCAACTTCTTTTCTGATGACGTCAAACAGCTGGTTGCTCTGGATTTATCCTGCCGGATCTTGTTGCCTCACCTTTCGGATATTACAATACCACTCATCCCCAGCCAATCAATGGGCATTGCAATTGACCAGCTGGAAAAACTGGCTTGATATTGGATGAGCAAAGGCTCCATAGCCTTTTGTGCTGATTCACCAACTACCACGATACAAAGATGGAAAATAAAGGAATACATTGCCGATGTTAGCTTGTCGTCCCTCCCCCCTCGCAAACAGGGTTAAGGCTCCTGAGCTTGGCAGATTTTCTCCCTAATCGCATTTTCCATCGCCTTTTAAAATAATCAATTTGGCCTCGTTGTGCCTGCTGAATTTAATTGGGTCAACTTAGTCGATGCCAGGGTTTCAATAACAAGAGGCCAACGTCACTCAGAAGGAGCTTTCTTTAATTGATCTCTAAACCTTGGGCATGAAAGCCAAGTGGCCTACTTTCCCCGCCCTGGTGAAGAAAGGTTAAAGGAAGCCATCACATGAGAGAAGGGTTTTCTGGAGCAGAGGTGTTTATATATCTATCTCTCTATCTCTCATCTATCTGTCTGTCTGTCTGTCTGTCTGTCTGTCTGTCTATCTATCTATCTATCTATCTATCTATCTATCTATCTATCTATCTATCATCTATCTATCTATTATCTCTCTCTCCCTATCAATCTACCTACCTACCTACCTACTACCTATCATCCATCCATCCATCCATCATCCATCTATTATCTCTATCTTCTATCTCGTCTGTCTATCTTCTATCTTCTATCTATTTTCCATCTTCTATTGTCTATCTTCTATTTTCCATCTTCTATCTTGTCTGTCTATTTTCTATCTTCTATTTTCCATCTTCTATCTGGTCTATTTTCTATCGTCTATCTGTCTGTTTGTCTGTCTGTTACCTACCTATCCACAAAAGCTTTAAAAAAAAAAAAAAGTCAGGTGATGCAAAGAAGCTAAGGGGCCCGAAGGACTGTTTCCTGCCTTCTAAGACCCAAGGTGCTGAAGGGATTAAATTGTTGGACTACCTCGCAGGGGTAGTTGTTGTTATGGGGAGAAAATGAAAGGAGATGCCCAGATAAGCCTCCCTATCTATCTATCTATCTATCTATCTATCTATCTATCCATCCATCCATCCATCCATCCATCCATCCATCCATCATCTATCATCTATCATCTATCATCTATCAATCTATCTATCTATCTATCTATCTATCTATCTATCTATCTATCTATCTATCTATCCATCCATCCATCCATCCATCCATCCATCTGCATTCTGGAACTATCTGCATCTCTCTCTCTCTCTCTCTCTCTCTCTCTCTCTCTCTCTCTCTCTCTCTCTCTCTCATCGTCTATCTATCTATCATCTATCTATCTGCATCTATCTGCATTCTGCATCTATCTGCATCTATCTGCATCTATCTATCCATCTATCTATCTATCGGCAATTCAATTTGCCAGTTGAATTATTCCTGCCCGCTGAGTTACAGAAAGTTTATTTGTTTAAGTTATTTATATATTTGTGAGGCTTGGAGGACACTCAACCCAAGTCTGTTGCAATTCTGGATACTGATGTCAGTTTTAGATTGCTGCCAACAGTGCTTTGGTGAGTGAAGTCAATTTGTATTTTCAGTGCCAGTATTGAACAAACGTAGACTGGAATTGTGAGAAGGTTTTCAGTAATGACTATGGCTTGTTGACTTGGTCAACAGTTCAATAAAGAGACACTGTCTGAATGCTATTGCAAGCTTCAATCCAGTTGGCTACCATCATAAAGGACCACATAGAAGAGATCTAGAAGAATGAATGGCCCTCTTCTAGTTGTCTATGGAGAGTCTCAGTCATCCAGGTCATGGTTGTCCCAAAGGTGCTTTTTCAAAAGTCAACTGGACTTCCTTTGTTTTTCCTTGAAAACGTTTTTGCTTCTCATTCAAGAAGCTTCTCAAATTCTGAAGAAGCTTCTTGGATGAGAAGCGAAACATCTTCAAGCAAAAACAGAGAAAGCCCAGATGCCTTTTTGAAACAAAAAAAATCACCTTTTGGATCCTTCTCCAGCTAAAGTCTTCTCCGTACGTCTGTACAGGGTGTTCTCCTCTAAAAATAACTCATTACCCACAGAGGAAGAGTCAAATTTGATTAAAAAACAGAAAGTCCGCAAGATGACTTAAAATGGTAAAATCCTTCCTATAGGATTCTCAGAATTTTGGAAGTCACTTTCTGGTGTCAGGGTGTCTAAGTAATACATCCATATCAAGCCAAACTCCAAGGCAGGTACTGTATTTTTCGGAGTATAAGACACACCGGAGTATAAGACGCACCTTAGTTTTTGGGGAGGAAAATAAGAAAAAAGCTGATTGGCAGGTGGATCAGCCTCCTGGAATACCCCCAATCAGCTGTTCCCAGAGGTGAATTTTAGCAACAGGTTCCTTGGCTGTGACCTCCGTGCCTTGCTTATTTTTGGGGGGTGGGTGGGTTCCTGCCTCTGAAAGCCTCTGAAACAGTTTCAGAAAAAAAGCCTCTGAAGCTCTGTTTGGGGACTTCTTTTCTGAAGCTCTGTTTGGAGGCTTCTTTTCTGAAGCTTCTTTTCTGATGCTCTGTTTGGAGGCTTTTTTTCTGAAGCTCTGTTTGGGGGCTTCTTTTTGAAGCTTCATTTCTGATGCTTTTTTCAGCCTCTGAAACCTCCATTTGAGAAGTTGGGCGGGGCTAAATTCAGAGTATAAGATGCACCCAGATTTTCACCCTCTTTTTTTGGGGAAAAAGGTGCGTCTTATACTCTGAAAAATACGGCAGATTCCTCAAAGAATAGCTTTATTGGAAATGTCATATTGGCACAGATCTGGTGAAAACCGACTCTGAAAAGTCCCGCGGTTTTTCATCTAATTAAAAGTAAAAGTTTTTTTTTAAAAAAAGAAAATGGAGAAGGAAATGGAATTCTTTTTCAAAGAAAATAAAAACAGAGAATCGTCCCTGCAAAATGTATGGGATACTGCCAAGGCATATTTCAGCAATTTCTTACATAGGAAGGAAAAATAGGGAGAAGAAAAGAAGAAAGGAATTAGAAGAAGAATATAAAAGACTAGAATTGGAACTACAGAAAGACCCGCAAATGGAACTAGTAAAACATGAATCTTAAGAGAAAGAAGAACTGGCACAAAAAATTAAAGCAGCTAAACAAAACTTCTTCGAAAATGCAAATAAGCCGGGGAGATGGTTGGCATTTAGACTCAAAAAAGAGAAAGAAAAAAAAAACTGGTACAAAAGTTATGAGATGAGACGGTTCAATTCGACACAAAAATGAAGACAAAAAAAGTAAAAGTTTTCCTCTCAACCCCAAAACCATCAGTCACATGGTCCAATCACGGCTCTGTCTGGTTGCCTGGTGACCTCGCTCCTCCTTCCTCTGATCAGGTGTGAGAATGTCCTTGGTTCCCAAGAGAAAGTATTTTGTTTTGACTACACAATCTCCAACTATCTCTAATCCCCCCTCCTTAAACCTCAGCTCTAGTGTGGCAACACTGAAGCTGTCAAGATGGCTTCCATCAGGGTTGACACCTGGAAGAAAAATACTTTTTTTTACAGTTGATGTATGTTTATTTTTATTTTTTTAATCTTCAGGTTGGTTTTCTTTTCCTAAGCATATGACAGTCCACTCTCTTTCCTTTCCAGAGTCAAGGGGATTATATCAACGCCCGACACTGCGTGCCCACTAACCAAGAAGTCAGTCGGGAAGGGGTATCCGTGTCTTCTCACAGCTCCCGCCGATCTTCGCACACAGCGCTGTCCGACTCTGCAAGTAGGGGGGTGTTCTTATCTAGGCTTCTTAGAAAGTATACAGCACAATCTTAGTCCCGGCAAACCTCTTTTATTCATACGGTTGTGAATTATTGTCATTCCCAGTCCGAAAGGCTTCTCAAACAGTCTTTCAGGGGAATGTTTATAAACACCCAACTTATCTCCCTTGGAATGCTGCCAGAGAAATAATTGCCAAATTATCTATACTCAAAATTTCCGCTGCCGGTTCTCCAGAACTGGTCAGAACCTGCTGAAACCCACCTCTGGTGTGCGGCGTCCAGCTGCTCTTCCAGATCCCGTTGGGCACATGGGTGCCGGACAGCTGGTCCTCACTTCTGGAACCCGGAAGAGCAGCTGGCATTGGCGCGCATGCCCACAGAGAGGGCTCCATGCCATAGGTTCGCCATCGCGGCCTTACTGCATCCATCGAGTAATATTTATTTGGTCAATCACCAGCAACATTTTCTCTTTCTCTTCCTTCACCTCTTCCCAAATTTGTTTGTTTTTCTATAGCCACGTCATCCATGCGGCACACTGATGCCAGCACTCCGACGCGGCAAAGCTTATCATTGGGGCAACCAGACAAGGTCTCCTTACGGCTTGCCTCCGGCGGCAGCACTCAGGTAAGGCTCCTGAGAAATTGCTTTGCCCAGGAATGGTGATTCACCCCAACAAGGGAGAGGACAGGTTAGAAGGTTAGATGCTTTGAACTCTAATGAAACAATTACTGGATTATCTCCCCATGAATGCGTCCGAAAAGGTCATTATGTGCAGAACAAATGATGACTCATTGTCGGATGATTAGTGGAAGTGACCTGGTCTTCTCTTTGGAAAGAGCAAATATCTATGATATATCTATATATATTAACAGAGGGATACAATCAAGATCAAGGGAGGTACTGATGAGGAGGGAGGAGGAACAGCTGGGTCCAGTGCCTGACGCGCAGATGCACAGAAGGCAGAGGAGAGGAGAGCAGTTGAAATCTATGGGCCGGTCCTTGGGATGGAAGAGCTTCTGCTGCTAGTGAAGCCCCATCCTAGCTCTGGGGATAAAAGGCATGGGGCGGAAATGAATAGATGTGGCAGACAGCTATTCATCTTCCGGCCGGCCGGACTTGTCAGCCTGAGAGAGAAACTTTTTGCCAGGGCTGCCGGCGCACCTAATAAAGGAATCTTTCGAGTTCACTTCAGAAGGTTTGTCGTCTTTGGGGAGCTGGATCAGAACATAAACTGAACGCTGCGGAAGGCAGCGGTCCAATTCATTCCTCGCAGAAGATGGATTGTGATGTCTTTTTTTCCCCTTCCTGTTTTCCCTCTTCATAGGGCATCATAACTCCCTCCGAACATCTTGTACAGCATCACATGACGCAGCCCACGGTCCCTGCCCAACAAACATTGATGGTATGTTGTCCACGATGCAAACCCATATTAGAGGTGCTTTGTAGCCAAGGAATGCAGAGATCCTTCCTTGCTGTCAGGTTTCAATGTCGTCTCAAATAAATTGCATTTCCAAACAGATAGTCTTTGATGAAATCTTACATTTATTAAGCACGACAGTCTGTCCCCGATTATGTCGTAGCCAACACTGCCTTCCTGACCCCAAACCTTCCCTTTCCATTCCCCAATTTTCTGTGTCTCATTGGCCATCTTCCAAATTACCCTTCCCATATCTACTACTTCAGCTTCCAGGAATGTCCCCCCTCCCAACCCATCTCCTAGGGGATATTATCTTCAGGGAAAATAAGTAGAGTCAAGTGTCCTCTTGCCAGCTGCCCCCTCTTCTCCTCCTTATATCAGCACTGGAACGAATGTAGTTTGGAGTGCTGACACTTGCTTCTCGTCTGAATAACTCGATATTACGTAGGTCAGCTTGGAGCTCATATTTCTTGCTCCTGCTTTGCGTCTTTTAAGTGTTGACATCTGAAGCATGGGAGATGTGACACCGTGCATGGTGGGAGACCAGATCTTGAATTGGAAATGAGGGAAGGAAGTCATCATGTTGTAATTCTCTGAACTGCACAGAATCTTAGCTAGAGGTTCTCTCGAACCCCTGCAAACCCCCAGCAGCCCACCCCTGGGGGGCAGGGGTGGGGGCAGGGGTGGGATTCAAGTAATTTAACCACCAGTTCTCTGCCCTAATGATTTCTTTCAACAACCAGTTTGCCAAACTGCTCAGAAAGTTAACAACCGGTTCTCCCAAAGTGGTGCGAACCGGCTGAATCCCATCACTGGGTGGCGGGGAAAGAGCATTGGACTCAGTGGTTGTTGGGAAGGAAGGAAAAGGGAGGTCGGAAGATATTAAAGGGAGAAAGAGAAGCATAGATGATGAACAAAGCAGCAGTGACCTTAATATTCATGCACGGAGTAGTTAGCCTATGTGCTGTATGGATCACGGCAGTTATATTTTTTTTTTTTTATTTTTTTGCAAAACCTGGTTCCAAGTTGGTCTCGTCTTTGCAGCCAGGCTATCACTTCCCAACGCAAATGGGGATGATGCACCAGCTCAAGGAACAGCTGGAAGAGAGGACACGCATCCTGCAAGCTGACATTAAGACCCAGCAAGAGGAACTGCATGTAATCAAGGAGCAGCTGCAACTCGTCCAAGACTCCAATCTGCAGGTATCTTGTGGTCAGGCTGCTTTAGCAGGAGACTGTCCCTGGTGGATCTTGATTGACCTCTGAGGCTCAAGGTTATTCTCCTTCTCCACCACTCCTCCTTCTTCTCTTTCTCCTTCTCCTTCTCCTCCTCTTCCTCTCCCCTTGTGGGTTTTGATTGACCCAAGAAGCTCAACCTTCTTCTCCTTCTCCTCCTCTCTCCTTATGGGTTTGTATTGACCCCAGAAGCCCAACCTTCTTCTTCTCCACCATTCCTCCTCCTCCTCCTCCTCCTCCTCCTCCTCCTCCTCCTCCTCCTCCTCCTCCTCCTCTCTCCTCATGGATTTTGATTGACCCCAGAAGCCCAACCTTCTTCTTCTCCACCATTCCTCCTCCTCCTCCTCCTCCTCCTCTCTCCTCATGGATTTTGATTGACCCAAGAAGCTCAACCTTCTTCTCCTTCTCCACCACTCCTCCTTCTCTTTCACCTCCTCCTCCTCTTCCTCTCCCCTTGTGGGTTTGTATTGACCCCAGAAGCCCAACCTTCTTCTTCTCCTCCACCACTCCTCCTTCTCCTTCTCCTCCTCTTCCCTTGTGGGTTTTGATTGCCCCCAGAAGCTCAATCTTCTCCACCACTCCTCCTTCTCCTCCTCTCCCCTTCCCCTTCTTCTCCCTCTGATCAGCTAATGGTACCCTGAAAAGCTTCTCTAGGAATTTTGGATTTTTATGTTGAAGAGAGACCAATGATTAGACATTTCAATGGAGTGGTAATTATCTTCTCACCCAGAAGGTTCAAGATTTCAGCGTTCAGCATCTTCAGAGAGGTCTGAGTAAACTCTCCATAGGAAATCCCAGAGATGTATCGCCCATTGTGGCAGCTTCTGACATAAATCTCGCCCAACTTCCCATGTCTCTCAGCGTTCCAGAAAAACCCAACTCCAATTAAAAACTCCGAGGCAAGCATTTTCTCAAAGTTCCATTTATTAGAGTAGGTATACTGGCACATCTGGGAAAACCCGAATCTGAGAGTTCCGGGTTTTCCCTCAATAAATCAAAACCCCCAAAACCATCCCCTCACTCCTCAGTCCATCACATGCTCTACTCACCATCCGTCCCATCTCGAGACATCACTTCAACCGCTCTCCTCCTCCAGATGCAGGATCGGCCTGACCTTGACCGACAGGATGAATGCTATTATGTCTACAGACTAAATCTACTAAATCCCCACTCCTACTTTCCCACACAGGAGAAGGTGGCAGGGTGGAAGCTTCTGTTGCTAATATGGCTTCCAAAGCTGACAATATCTATGCTTCGTCACTTCAGATAATTCACGTACCTCGCTTAGCAAAAACAATTCTTCTAAAACAACGAGGCTGTTTTCTACAGAGGCTGTTTACTGTTCCAGTAAGATTTCTGGCTGTTTTTTTTAAAAATAAAAATAAATAAATAACGGTGCATAGGTTTTCCAGCAAATAATGCAACAGCTATATATAGTAAAGGTTCAGTTATCATTTTGGAGTGTTTACAATTTATAATTGGCAAAGAGCTGGCTGACCTCTAGTGGGATATTCTTGCCATAGTTCCATGCAGTGAGGGAAATTCTGAATGGTCTTTTTCCCAGTGGTGAAATTCAATTTTTTCTTACTACTGGTTCTGTGGGCGAGGCTTGGTGGGCATAGCAGGGGAAGGATATTGCAAAATCTCCATTCCCTCCCCACTCCTGGGGGAAGGATACTGCAAAATCTCCATTCCCTCCCCACTCCTGGGGGAAGGATATTGCAAAATCTCCATTCCCTCTCCACTCCTGGGGAAAGGATATTGCAAATCTCCATTCCCACCCCATTCCTGGGGGAAGGATATTGCAAAATCCCCATTCCCACCCCACTCCTGGGGGAAGGATATTGCAAAATCTCCATTCCCATCCCACTCCAGGGGAAGGATACTGCAAAATCCCCATTCCCTCCTCACTCCTGGGGGAAGGATATTGCAAAATCTCCATTCCCTCCCCACTCTGGGACCAGCCAGAGATGGTATTTGCCGGTTCTCCAAACTACTCATAATTTCCGCTACTGGTTCTCCAGAACCTGTCAGAACCTGCTGGATTTCCCCCCTGCTTTTCCCCCCTAATTCTTATTTCCTTGCCCCAAACTCACAGAAACCTTTTGCGTTTTATGTCTTTCTTTAAATTCCCAAGCAACCTCCTTTCTCTTAAAGGCAACATTATGAGGCTTTTCCAAGACCAGAAAGTTGACGAACAAAAATGTTAATTTTTGTCTTGCTGTTCCAACTGGAACTTGATCTCTCTCTCTCTTTCACCACAAACCCACCCAAAAATTTACAAAAACCAAATCCGATATTCATCGTGCCCCTCTCTACCAATCTGTGTCTTCTTCCATGCCTTTCTGGCTAAGGACCACTCTCTGCAAGTTGGTTTTATGTAGCACAAGGTATGTTTGCCTTCACTTTTCCTCATCACTCACTGTTCTGAACTAGGCTTCTCTAAAAACTACGAAGCAGACTCCTTGTCCTGAAAAAAAACCCTTTTTATTAAGTTACTGTGAGTTCTTCTCATTCACATCCAGCAAAGTCTTTCAAGGGAGAATTTACAGTCACTGACCTTATCTGGCTTGGAGAGCTGCCAGACCGATATCTTCAAAACTTGGCAAGGAGTCTTGGAGAGTCGCGAACCAATTAAGCGAACTAATTGTCTCCTGTGAACTCCACTCCCCTGTCGCTCCTCTTTTATTCCCTCTGGGAGGGGCCATTCATCATTCCACCTGTGGCCTTCCTCCTGAGTCGACCCTTGTTCTTTAGCTGTTCCCTTCGTCTGGCAACTCTGTGCATGCACACACTGGGAACAGGCTCCAGCTGTTCCTCTGCCTCACTGATCTCTGACTCCGAAGGCAGATGATAACTGGCATACGGCCCTGGCCCCATCTTTGCCTCTGACGCAGAGCCCTCATCAGAGCCTTCCCCAGACTCCAGGACTGGCCCATGTTCCTCCCCAACCTCCACACTGTCCGTATCTGCTGCCAGCTCTGCTGGCGGGCCACAACACTTGCCTTTTGTAGAAGGTTGGAAAGCACGAAGGTTGACAGGTGAACTGAGCTCCAGTTGGCATCGTGAGGTTCTCATAAAAAATGTCCCTTCGGCTTTTGAGGCTTCCTGGTGACCCCATCTCCCCTTTGACCGTCCTCTCTTGTCCAATAGATGTTCATGCAGCAGTCCATGCCTATGGTCTTCAGCACGGTGCAGTCCCAACAGACCCCAAGGCGGCAACCACCGGGAGCCACTTTAGGGAACAGGCCAGCTGCTCCCACGAAGTCCCAACAACAGCAAAGCATCATGGGATCGAAGCAATTTAGTGGCGCTCCCTTGGCCTCCCAGCCGTCCTTCCTCAGGGAACCGTGTGTCACATCAACCCAGGTAAATTCTCTGTTGTTGTTGTTGTTTTTACATTATTACGATTGGTGTAGTGGGGTCCTTGCTGCCTTCTGAGCTTGGAGGTTTTCGGGCAGACGTTTCATTACCCAACTAGGTAACATCATCCATGCTAGAAGGGAGTGGGGTTTGCAGAGAGACGGAGGAGGAGGAGGAGGAGGAGGAGGAGGAGGAGGAGGAGGAGGAGGAGGAGGAGGAGGAGGCGGCCTGAGGGGTCCTTGGTGCTCGCTGACCTTAGTGGTTTCTTTGCAGACAATTCACTACCCAACTAGATACTGTAACATCATCAGTTTTAGAAGGGAGTGTGGTTTGCTCTGATTTTATATACTAGTCAGTGTTGGTGGGAGTATAAGCTGAGAAACTGCACTCCCTTCTAGCGCTGATGATGGTACCCAGTTGGGTAATGAAACGTCTGCCAGAAAACACTGAAGCTCAGAGAGCACCAGGTACCCCAAAGTCATTGTTGTCTTCCTCCTCTCCGCAAACCCTTCTCCCTTCTAGCACTGATGACGTTACCTAGATGTCTGCAAGAAAAGCACCAAGCTCAGAGAGCACCAAGGACCCCACGGTTTAATCCTGAGCTACAAATATTACCTTCTCTCGATTAGTTTAGTAGCCCTCTGTGGTTTTCCCCACCCAACCCCAGTCAAGCCATCTCTAATCGCGAGATTAATTTCTCCTAGATAAACCCACACGGACGTAATCATGATTACAGCCAAAGATCAGAAATGATTCAAAACCCAGTTGTAGTTCCGATCACTTCCCATCGATGAGCGATAACTTCTACAAATTAGAAAATGAAAAGAAAGATGTCAGCGTTGCGACGCTGGCATAGAGAGAGCAGAGGAGAGCGAAAGATAAACTCTGAAACTTTTGCCTGATAAATCCCTTTGAAGCCCGGTTGTCGTGGAAATGAGGGGAGGGGGACACATTCCTGAGAAATGACGAGGAAAAGAAGTCTGAAGAATGACTTGGAAGACAGCCAATGAGAAGCAGAGATTTGGGGATCGGAAAGGGAGGGATTGGGAGGCAAAAGGTCAGTCTTGTCCGCGCGGAGTCATGATCCGGTGGCTGAGCTCAATTAAAGAAAGATTTCCTTAAAGATTGGCAGTTTGGAAATTCATTTAATTTTGAGATAGCACCGCAGTCTGACAGATTAGTTGGCGACTCACTCAACAACTGCCTTTCTTAGTGACAGAGATGCTGGTCATAAGTCGAGGATTACCTCTATCTGGGGGTTCTGAATCAATCCCCCCCGTCCCTCGGGAGCCTGCAAGATTCCTGTTCAACCATTTGTGTTTTGATTTCAGGGGCAACCACAACAGCGAAAACACGTTGTGAGAGGAAACCAGGTGAAGCCGGTGTGCATGCCCATCCAGATGAGTATTTCTCTGCCCGTCTACAACAACCCCATGGCTTTTTCTCAAACCCACCCTCTCCCGGTGCCTTCTCCAATGCCACAAGAACTGGGCGAGAGGACACAACCGTCCGATTACAACCAAGAAGGAAACTTAAGGTACGGATGAGGAGAGACCTTGAGAAAGGAGGAGGAACTCTAGTTTTGGGGGGGGGGGCAAAACGCCCCTCAGTTCAACCTTCTAGAAACGAAGAACCTAATGTGTCCAAGTCCCAAAGATGCTTTTTGCAAGAGGCAACTGGACTTTCTGGGTTTTTACTTGAAGATGTTTCGCTTCTCACCCAAGAAGCTTCTTCAGCTCTGGATGGTGGGGAATGGAATAAATACATGGCACAACATAGGAGAACCACCCAAACACAAACTGAGCAAAATGGTAGTTGCAGTACAATGCGGTGAGCAATGTGCAGATCTGTACGTTGGGGAAACAAAACAACCACTTCCCAAACGCATGGCACAACATAGGAGAACAAACGCATCAGGACTAGAGTTCAGCAGTCCATCTGCATTGAAAAGACAAAGGCCACTCTTTTGAAGACAACAAAGTCCACATTTTGGACACAGAGGACTACTGGTTTGAAAGAGGGGTCAAAGAGGGGCCCATCTAGGTCAAAATTGAACAGCCCCATCTCAACACAGGGGGAGGGATGTGACACCATCTATCTCCAGTCTACAACACAGTCCCTTCAGCAGTTGCAAGAAGGCTCCCCACCCATTTGCCCCACTCAGGTGACCCTCAGGACACAGATAAACCTCTAAGTAGCCTCAATGGCTCTCTAAAAGGATGCAAATGTCCATCTGTCTGCAAGGAGTATCAATCCTTCCATTCCCCACCGTCCAGCCAGAGCTGAAGAAGCTTCTTGGATGAGAAGCGAAATGTCTTCAAAGAAAAAAACCAGAAAGTCCAGTTGTCTCTTGAAAAAGGACCTTTGGGACAACCATGACTTGGATGACAGAGGATCTCCACAGACTAATGTTCTTGTCTGATCTATTGGACTTTTGTTAAGTCCTATGGTCCAAAATGAGTACAACTTGCATGAAAACTGTTCAAGCACCACTTGTCTATTTTTTCTCACAGTTGTGTGTTGGGTGTGCTCTTTTCCTTCCCCAGGATGTTGTTAGATCAACCTGTGCCGTCACTGATGTCCAGCACAAGCGGGAACAATCAGACCTCCCAAAGCAACACTAGTAGACAGCAGACCAAGTAAGCCACCATTTTATCACGATGACTCTACCTTGACCAACTGAAGATGAGCGGACTTCAACTCCCAGAATTCTAAGCAATGGCTTAGAATTCTGGGAGTTGAAGTCCATATACTTGAAAACAGCCAAGATTGGGAAATCTTCATCTACTGAATAAGTGTAAATTCCATAGAATTTTCTAGAACGTAACAAATGACTTGCGCATTGTGAAGGCAGTCTTGGACATTGTAGGGTTCTCCAGACACAAAGATAGATAATGGGTCATAAATTTGGACTTGCTGCTTTGTGGGAGCATACTTTTGCCCTGCTAATGTTTTGATGAGGCCTAACTCAATCCTAGAAAGTAAGAGTTAAAAGGGAACTTAGAGATTACTTCATTAAACCTTCTGCTCAGTTCAGGAATCCACAATTGGTGATTATTTATGGGTTCCCCAACTCCTCGGAGGTCCAAAAACAAAGTCCAATGTAACAATGCAACCATTCTTAAACTTTGCTCTTCCCTCACCTTCCTCCCCACTTTAAATGTCTATAAATTGAAAGCTCTTCTAAAAAAAAAAAAAATCCCGATACCTTAAATGAGCAAAACTCTTTTGGTGTTGATTGAAAATCTCTAGATGGGTTCATCTCAACTTCCTTTCTTGCATTCTGTGTAAGAAAGAATGTCATAGATCTAAGGAGTTGTCCTGTTTTATTACCTGTTGGATCTCCTTCTATTTATCATCATCTTTTAAAGACCCCATAATCCCTTGTGGGGTGGAGTCTGGGCAAGTGAATGGAGCTGAGTGTTTACTGGCTGGGTGTCCTTCCTGTTGCCGAGTTTTGCCGAGTTTTGTTCAGCAGATAGATTTTCATTGTGCCCAGAGAGAGAAATATCTGCCTCTACCTAGTTTCTGTTGCTAGATGGGTCCTATTGTGTTGCAGATGATGGTCCATTGTCAAAGGGTGTGGGGGGGGCAGGAAGGTGGGAGCTGCTTTGTCTTTGAAACATGTTTCTCCATTTCTCAACCAGGGAAATATAATATTCTGCCTTTTTAATATTTCCTAAAAGATTTCATTCTTCTAGGAAAGGGGTGGGTGCTAACTTCCTACACTAGCTATCTCGTTTTAATGTGGGATGAAACCTTCCATTTCTGTTTCTTCACCAACCTTTTCATTTTTCCCCTCGGAAGGTTTCCTCAAGAACCGCAGAGTCTGCCTTCCGCAATCCAGATGCAACCCGTCACGTGCGCGGCCATCCGGGCCCCGGTCCCGTCTCCCGGATTCACCCCTTCTCTGATGATGCCTCAACCCAGTGTGACTGTCCCACAGAGCCATCCGGCCAACACCCTCCAACAGTGGACGCCGCAGCCAGTTCAACCACATCATCTTTACCTCCAGGTAAATCGTTTTGCAAGATGCGACAATCGATAAAGAGATGTAATCCTCAATTTACAACAGTTCGTTTAGCGAACTTAGCTGAAATCTTGAGCTCAATTCTAGTCATTAAGTCGAGGACTAGCCAAAAAGCCCACCGATGGGAGGAAGAGATGAAAAAAAAATTAGGTTAGAGAAAGCTGGATCAAACTTAAAACCTAGAGTGTTGCGATCACTCTCTGAAAATAATATTGAGCTATAGAAGAAAATAAAAATTGCAGAATTCTGGAAGTAGAAGTCCACCCATCTTAAAGTCGGCATGGTTGAGAAATGTGGCTGAAGACAATTATTCACTTCCATTCCGAATGATGGCCTCGATATCCATCTATTGTTGATGGTGATGCCTGAAACTGGACACGTGGCAATTAATCTTAAACAGGGTTTGTCAACTTCAAGACCGGTGGACTTCAATTCCCAGAATTCCCTTTCCGTATTGCGTGCGTTCAATGCTCCCTTCCAACATTATGATGACTTGAGGTTGTAGATGTTCTCTGAAGTCCCAAAGGTGCTTGTTCAAGAGGCAACTGGACTTTCTGGTTTTTCTTTGAAGACTTCAAACCCAAGAATACACTAAGGCAGAAGCTTGTCCACCCCAAGAATAAAACACCCAAGCACAAACTGAGCAACGTGGTATATGCCGTACAATGTGGTGAGCCATGTGCAGATCTGTACATTGGGGAAACAAAACAACCACTTCCCAAACGCCTGGCACAACATAGGAGAACAAACACATCAGGATTAGATTCAGCAGTCCATCTGCATTGAAAAGACAACGGTCACTCTTTTGAAGATAGCAAAGTCCCCATTTTGGACAGAGGGGACTGCTTGTTTGAAAGAGGGGTCAAAGAGGCCATCTGTGTCAAAATTGAACAGCCCCATCTCAACACAGGGGGAGGGATGTGACACGATCGATCTCCAGTCTACCACACAGTCCTTTCAGCAGTTGCAAGAAGGCTCCACACCCATTTGCCCCACTCAGGTGACCCTGAGGACACAGATAAACTTACAAGTGGCCTCAACGACTCTCTAAAAGGAATGCAAATGACCATCTGTCTGCAAGGAGCATCAACCCTTTCTATTCCCCACCATCCTGCCAGAACCGCTGAAGCTTCTTGGATGAGAAGCGAAACGTCTTCAAAGAAAAACCAGAAAGTCCAGTTGCCTCTTGGGTTGGGGGTGGGGGGAAAGCACCTTCAGGACAACCACGACCTGGAGGACTGACGATCTCCATAGATGTGTTCTTTGAAGTGGCTTCACATTGAATCTTCTCTTCCTTACAGATGCCGAGTGCAGCTGAACCAGGGCAGAACCAACACTTATTCCAGCAACCACCCTTACCTCAACAGACGGCCACCATGGGTTATTTCCACCACCCGCAGCCCCCGAGCCATCACCTACAGGGGCAGCCGTGCAGCTTACAAGATTTGCCTGAAATGCAGTTGCCTTGAGGTTCTCGAATGAGATGGTCATCACTGTTTTATTACCTCAGGGCGGGCAGCGAATCCTGACCGCCGAGCAGGAGAGTTTGGGTCCTCCTCCAGAAGGCTGCAAGGCGAGAAGAAACGCCCAGGGATGTAGAAGGAGCGGAGAGCTACAGCTGGCAACCTTTCTGCTTAGGAAACCAGCAGCCCAAAAGGCAGTTGGCCTTTGGCTGTTCAAGCTTTGCAGCTCCACAAGCGCAGGGAGGAAAGGTTAAGGGAGTTACGTTGGCTTAAGGAACTGTCAGTCAACGTGAGTTTTGACAAGCAGACCAGAACTAGGAGCTCGCATGGACAAAGAAACCAGCTTGACCGGAATGGTGAGAGAGACTCAAGGACTTGCAGGAAATCACACACCGCTAATAATTGCAACTAGGTTTGCATGCGGCCGAGCCAAATATAGCAATAGCATTTAGACTTATATACCGCTTTACACTGTTCGACAGCCCTCTCTAAGCGGTATACAGTCAGCATATTTGCCCCCAACATTATGGGTCCTCATTTTACCCACCTCGGAAGGATGGAAGGCTGAGTCCAACCTTGAGCCCTGGTTAGATTGGAACTGCCAAATTGCAGGCAACCGGCATTCAGCAGAAGGAGCCTGCAGTACTGCACTCTGACCACTGCGCCACCGTGGCGCATATATATTTCATATGGCGGCTGGATTTTAGCCTGCAAGTCCTTTCTTTTGTTACTAGGATCAAATTTTACACGCTGATAAATTTAGACCCCCACCCCACCCCCAAGAGACGGGGTTTTTTTTTTGAAAAATGTTTGCTGTGAAATATCATAGGACTTGATTGCCATGTTTCACTTGTTCAGTGTGTGTGTGATTGATGTTATTTTTAAGGTTCGCAATTTCCTTGCGATTCAAAATTTTTTTTTTTCCTCCCGTCTGGACTTCTGGAATACTCAAACGATGCTGCTACCGTTTTATGGAAACCACTTTGGCCTGAATTTCTTTCGTTGTACACCAGCTCCTTTTGGTCTTTCGAGTTGTCTATAAAGAGTCCATATTTTATTATGGAGATTTAAAATATATATATATATATTTATCTAGCTCGATTCCCCGATGAACCAAATAGGGTGCAAGGACGATCCTTATTTTTATTTATTTTTTTTCTCCTCCTCTGGTTGAATTAAACCTCGTTTTGGAGAAACATCTTGCCACCCAGAGATAAAATCAAACTTTGTGGTTTTGCTGTTAAAAGAGTTTGGCAAAGCGGAATCTTTGATCTAAGAAACGTCACGAGTCAGTAGGGTTAGCAATAAAGTGTATTTTTGTAAATGGTCATTTAAAAAAAAAAACGGAAAAAAAGACTTGTTTATATATTTATGAACTTTTTTTTTAAAGTTTTTTTTAAAAAAATTCCTCCATGGTGAGAAAGCACCAAAGCATCCTTTTATTGTCTCTTTTTGCAAAAAGGAATGACTTGTAATTTGCAAGGGGTATTTACAAACAAACAAACAAACAAAAAGACTTATAACTTTGTTCAGCTTGCACATTTTTTTTTTCTTTAGTCTTTCCAGCTTGTTCCTCCTTTTTGGGATGTGAAGCTTTTACCTGCTGCTGTTATAGTGCAAAGTTGTTTTCACAAGTTCAGTCTTAAAAGGCATTTGTTTAATAATAGTTCAGGGTCATACATTTGAAAAACAAACAAACAGCAAATGATGTTTATTCAGGTATAACTGTGTGTGTGTGTGTGTGTGTGTGTGTGTATAAAACTCTCAGGCGGATGAATCACTGTTTTACAAGAATCTGCATTTTCTTAGGATTGTAGTTTCTTTACTGCTGAACATGCTTTGCATGGACAGGCACGTACCGGTCAGTTTCCCTGGATATTTAAACAAAGGGGTAGTAATGGATTTTTCCTAAATCCAGTATCTGTAGAGCAGTGTTCCTCAACCTTGGCCATCTGAAGATATGTGGACTTCAATTCCCAGAATTCCCCAACCAGCATAAGTACAAATCTGGCATCGAATGCAATGCTTTGCAAACCTGGGTTAAACATGGTTTAACTTTGGGTTAATGATCCCCGAACCTCCTACTCATCTCAAAAGGGACATTTAAATGGAAAAGTCTGCCCTGTGTTCTAAACTATATTTGAACATCTAAAGTATTTCTGTTAAGATGAAAATTGATCCAATCACCAAGGACAATTTTGTTGAAGTGACATTTAAGATCAGTCCATCTTGTTTTTAAAATACTAAAAGGTAAAAGTTCCCCTTGCACATAGGTGCTAGTTGTTCCCGACTCTAGGGGGCGGTGCTCATCTCCGTTTCGAAGCCGAAGAGCCAGCGCTGTCCCAAAATATCTCCGTGGTCATGTGGCCTGCATGACTAAATGCCAAAGGTGCACGGAACGCTGTTACCTTCCCACCAAAGGTGGTCCCTATTTTTCTACCTGCATTTTTTACGTGCTTTCGAACTGCTAGGTTGGCAGAAGCTGGGACAAGTCACGGGAGCTCACCCCGTTACGCGGCACTAGGGATTCGAACCGCTGAACTGCCGACCTTTTGATCGACAAGCTTAGCTTCTTAGCCACTGAGCCACCGCGTCCCTTTTTAAAATACTGGTAGACCTCAAATTCCGACCGTTCGTTCAGCGACCGTTCGAAGCTACGACGGTGCTGAAAGGAAGGGACTCATCACCGGCTCTCCAGAGCTTCTGAAAAGCACTTTTGGATAGGGAAGGAAAAAGCTTGGGAAACCCTAAATCTAATGCAACAGCGACGAAGTCACTAAACAGATTGTCTTAAGTGGAGTTAATTCTGCTCGGTGTGTTGAGGAAGACCGCTTGAAATGATAAATCATCTCCTAAATCTTTAGAATTTGGAAAGGTAGAGAGCAGGCTAAGAATGCTTGCTGAGCCCATGGACTTTTTTTTTTTTTTTTGACTTTCCTGCCTATACAGCTAGTCCTCGACTTACGACCACAATGGAGCCCAGAACTTATGTTGCTAAGTGAAAAATTTGTTGAATTTTGCCCCCGTGTATGACTTTCCTGGCCACGTTTGTTAAGCGAAATCACTGCAATTGTTAAATGAGTCAGACGGTTGTTTAGTGAATCTGGTTTCCCCGTTGACTTGGCTTGTCGAGAAGGTCGCAAAAGCAGATCACGTCAGCCTGGGACACCGCAACTGTTCTAAATATGAACCATTTGTCAGGCATCCGAATGTAAATCACGTCACCACGGGGGGATGCTGCAACGGTCATAAGTGTGAGAAACGGTCACAACTGTGCCGTTGTAACTTTGAAACAGTCACTAAATGAGCTGTCGTAAGTCAAGGACTACCTGCAGGTGTGTTGCAGAAGTTAGAAGTCTTAGCAGGATGCAAAGTGAGACCAATCTTTAGTTCATTGTGGAAGCACAAAAATCATTTTTTTCCCCCCAGCCTGGCACTTTCTGTACATATATTTACAAATGAAAAGGCTGGTGGGTTGACAGAGGCAGAGTCTAACTTTATATACTAGCTGGAAAGAAAGAAAGAAAGAAAGAAAGAAAGAAAGGAAGGAAGGAAGAAAGAAAGGAAGGAAGGAAGGAAGGAAGGAAGGAAGGAAAGAAAAAGAAAGAGGAAGGAAGAAAAAGAAAGAAAGAAAGAAAGAAAGAAAGAGAAGGAAGGAAGAAGGAAGGAAGAAAAAAAGAAGGAAAGAAGGAAGGAAGAAGGAAGGAAGAAAGAAAAAGAAAGGAAGGAAGGAAGGAAAAGAAAGGAAGAAAAAAGGAAGGAGGGAGAGGAAAGAAGGAAGGAGCAAAGAAAGAAAGCACAAAAGGGGAAAAAGAAAAAAAGGCGAAAGTTTAAAATCAAATATTGAATTTATTTTGTACGGTGTCAAATATAGATAACTTTTTTTTAAAAAAAAGCATTCCTATTCATAAAGTATTTTGTAAATGGGGAAAAAAATAATAAAAGCGGCAAGCGTCTTATTGAGATTTGGGAGCGGTGGCGAGGGGGGGGGGAATAAACCAGGATTGACTGGAATCCTCTCAAATCCTTGTTAAATCGTGTCCTTGGATCCTTCAGCAGATTTGTACATATTATTTTGGAAGAAAAATAAAACTCTACTTTTAAGAAACGTCGTGCGGTGGCTGATGGTTCCTGGGATGCATTCAGCATTTGGTCATGGGAAGGAAGGAGGTACTATGAGAATCCTATTTCACTCCAAAGCAGAAAAATTAAAGTGCTGATTCTTAAAAGTAGCTTAAAATTAGAATTAGAATAATAACAGCGTTGGAAGGGACCTTGGAGGTCTTCTAGTCCAACCCCCATCTTAGGCAGGAAACCCTACACCACTTCAGGCAAATGGTTGTCCAATCTCTTCTTCAAAACTTCCAGTGTTGGAGCATTCACAACTTCTGGTGGCAAGTCGTTCCACTGATTGATTGTCAGGTTAAAATAACTCAAGTGCATTTTTTTGCTCCCTCATAAACATTCATCATATCGGAGACAAGAAAATAAACTAATTCTATAGTATAATATTATTTATGATTTTTCCCCTCAAGGATAATAATATATACATGTGTAATCTGTTTATAAGACAATTCAATCCTAAACTTTAATATATATTTATATATATTTATGTACTTGTTTATGGCAAGTATTTATAGTGGTCTCTTGGAAAACATACTATAAAAAATGGCATTCATATGGCCATCCCCAATTGCATTTTATACAGTACTTTTGTTGAAAAAGACACGGTGTCTATCTAGATATATATATATATATATATATATATATATATATATATATATATATATATATATATATATTCCCTTTATAAACACTTTTTACCTTTCAGTTTTTATTATTATTAAATTAAATTATTATAAATTGATTGGTTTTATTGATCATTTAGCAGCCATGAGTAGCAAAGAAAGAAAGAAAGAAAAAAGGAAGTTGGCATAAATCAAACTTTTCTGAATTTCTGTCAGTGGTGCTAACTCCAGATGTTATAAAAATACTTTCACACTGAAGAATTCTTGTATTACACCAGACCAGGTCTAGAAGCTTTCTTTTAAAATTGGGATTTTATATCTCTGGTATCTCTCATATTTCTCAATTATGTTAGAATTAGGAGTACATTAAATTGGAGGAAACGGGGGTGGGGTTTTTTTTTGGCATATCAGCAAACAACTGGATTTTGAAAAAATATACACCTGTCTGCTTTTGGCAAAAGGCCTCATGCCACTATTCTCAACTGTGGTGGAATTAAAAAATAGTAGCACTTTTAAAATTTAAAGATTGCAAAAATGAGTGTCTTTTACTAAAGCACTGCTCGGATTAAGGTAAATTGAAAAGAGTTTTAAAGGCAATCGAGGTTTGTGTGTGTTTTTTTTTAAAGAAAATTCTCATCCCTGAGGGACTTGAAAAGTCTTTGAAAGATAAATTCTAATTAATTTTTGCTCTGACTGAATGCAGGCTCACCGTTCTATTTTCTAAATGTTAGCTTCAGGCGATAATCCATGTTTTTTTTTAAACCTGAGGCTGGAAGGATTTCATCTTTGATTCTTGAGCCTACAGCTTCAAATCCTTTCCTCCTGACACACAACTCACTTTCTAGGATTTAAGTACTAGATCCTAGCTTAAGCATTAACCCTAATAAATTGCGGAGAACCTATCTGGACAATACTAAGACGAGGTTTTTTGTGTGTGTGATAGCGTCCAACTTTCTTACTAGTACCCATTTCTTTTTACTAAAGGCCTTGGTGATTTTGGACACCATGAAACAATGGTTTCCACTCAAAATGGAGAAGAAAAAATAAATAAATAAATTACTACAGGGTCAAACAGCTGTTTTCCCCAAAGTCATTTCAGTGTTGTGGTGCTGAAATTTTGGAATTTCTGTTCCTAGCTTTTCGTTGACTTGACTAGATGGTTTTTCGAAGGGGAAAACCTCAGAATTTTACTCAACTAACACTTTGAGGAAGAATGCGCTGTGACGCAACTCCCCCGCTTGTAAAATTGGGACAAAAATCACCCTTGTTTTTGGATGTTGAGTAGAAGAAGCTGTCCAGAAGAAGGGATGGGACAATTTGCCACAGCCAACTAGCTGCGGCCAACTCGCCGTGGGACAATTTAAACAAATCAAATTTAATTCTTCAAAATAAATTTTTAAAAAAATATTTACATTTTTGTCATTCACATTCCATTGTCTCCTTTTGAATTCTTTCTTTAATGATTCTGTTCTACCATTTCTTGGATATTAGTGTAACTCTTGGTGAGTTGCCCTACCTAGACCCATCCAGAAGACATAGTTGCCCAGTTGCAAAAATTTAACGCTATCAGCTGAGGCGGCTTCCGTGTGAGGCAAGCACTGGCTTTGGAGAACCAGGTTTTGAAGAAATGTATATTTTAAAGAAATTCTTGCCCCACTTGATACGAAGGGCTTTCCTAAACTAGTATCCTAAACTGGCTGGAGATCAGTTTAGCAAACCTGCATTCTAAGTTTAAGAAGCTCTTTGCAAGAATTGATGACATTAAGATGATGCGGGCAAAACAGGGGGCTGTAAAGTGAGAACTTGGAAACATTGTACCGCCAAGGAGACAATTTAGGGGTGGGTGGGTTTCCCCCCCCTTCCATGTTGCCCTGTGTTGGTGTCTGTGGCTTATTAAAAAAAAAAATCCGGTGTATTAAAAATGCAAAGATTAGGTGCAGTTGTGCTTCGAACGACTTGACCCCCACAAAAAAAAAAATTACAAATAAAGCCACGTACACCGACCGCCCTGCCATTAAGGGAATCGGGCTAAAACCCTCAGCGCGAACTTCAAACTCAGTGGTCGCCTCCTGTTTGGGATTGTTTTTACACGAGGGGAAAGCAGAAGCGACTCTCTAGGGATTCTTATACGCCAGCTCTTGCTTTCAACTGAGTGGCTTTAGCGGCTTCTAACTTGGCTCTGACATCGACCGGTTTCTCAAAAAACCTCACCAAGGCGGGTTCGTTCAGCAACGACGCCAGGATCTGCTCAAAAGCGAACGACCAGCCTTCGCCGACGGAGCCGGAGATCGGGGCTCCTGGGTCATCAGTCTGGGAATCCGCTGGTGCTGTAGGACCAACCATGGGAGATGTTCCCCTCCGGGTTGGGGAAGTGGGGCTCTGGAGCTTTCGCCCCACCTCTTCCATTCTCAGCAAGAGGCCGGTAACGGTAGCGATGGCACGGAACAAGAGCTCTTCTTCTGGATCGCCGTGGAATAAGTTATACAAGGTCTTGGAGAACTGGATGAATTGGGACTGGGGAGGGAGAAAGGAGGATGGTTTTCAGATCAAGCGGGTGTCAGGGTTCCAAGTAACACCCCCAATGAAAGAATGCCCCGAGGCTTGAGGTTCCTCAAAGTTCCATTTTGTTAGAGATGTCATACTGGCACATCTGGGAAAATCCGAATCTGAGAGCTTCCAGGTTTTCCCCACACAAAAGAAAGTCCAAGTCCCTGCCCAGCACCCACATGGTCCATCACATGGTCCAATCAAAGCACCGTCCCAACTGGAGATGCCTCCCAGTTCCAGCCCTCCAGGTGCAGGGCAAGATGTCCTTGACTCTCTGAGAAAGGAATGTTATTTTGCCTACATATCACGCTGGCTCCATACAATCCCCCCTCCCAATTTCCCACAGTAGGAAATGTGGAAGGCCTGAAGATCCAACGAAAAAGATCCCAGGCCTGACAGGGGTTGTATGTAGGTCAACAGAAGAAGCCATGTTTGTGTACAGCTTTTTATAAAAATGGTGCCTTGGCTAGATTTCCCCATCAAGGGTCCTGAAGATGCATCGAATAACGATCTCCATGACCTCCAAACTTCATGGATCATCTGGCAGGGGTTATGAGTTGTAGGCCACCGTGCCTAAAGATCTCCAGGTCAGAGAAGATTATATTTTGATGTCCTGCCAGCATTTGTTATATGGGATCCTTGGTGCTCCCCAGAGCTTGATTGTCTTCTTGCAGATGTCTCATTATCAAACTAGGTAGCATCATCGTCATTTTTCATCATAATCCTGATGATGTTACCTAGTTGGGTCATGAAATGTCTGCAAGAAAACCGCCAAGCTCAGAGAGCACAAGGGACCCCACAGTTCTCTCCTCCTCCCCTTCCTCTTCCTCCTCCTCCCCTCTTCTAGCACTGATGATGTTACCTAGATGGGTCATGAAACGTCTGCAAGAAAACCGCCAAGCCCAGAGAGCACCAAGGACCCCACAGTTCAATCCTGAGCTACAAATATTCTCTCCTATCAATATTTACTATACCTCCACCCTACTTGTATTAAAGGGGGGGGAAAAAACCCCCACTAGAACAAAATACTTATTTCCGGAAAAGTTCCCACCTGGTTCATCCGAGGCAAATCCTTAATGCTTTCTTCCTTTTTAAGGATCTCGTCTTGCCACTGCTTCAAGTAAGCCTGGATGTCTACTTTTCCTTTCCCTGTTTGGGAAGAAGAAGACGACGACAAATTCAGAAGAGCAGGATGGGCCAACTGTCCTGTCTCCTCCAGGGCTTCTGCTAGGTAACTTTGGAGCATATGTACAGTTTCCAGCTGAAGCTTCATTACCTCCAGACAGGCCAGGCTTCTAGATACGAATTTGCAAAATCGCTAAATATTTTAATATTTCTGCCATCCTGCCCAGTGGTGGATTTCTACCGGTTCGCCCCGGTTCGGAGGCTACGCTCACCCGCCCGGACGTCATCACGGATGCTCTGTGCGCACGCTCAAAGTTCCGAACCGGTAGCGAACCCACTACTGATCCTGCCCTGCAGCTCTCATACTTTACACTCTTAGTACCAGGCTTGTGACCCTCAAGCCACGATCTCTTGTTAACCCCTACAAGCTTTGGCCTCACCCTCTCTTTTCCTTCCTCCAGCAGAGTTTCCAAAAGACTGCCAACCAGGGGTGAAATGCTCCCGGTTCGCCCGATCCAGGAGCGATGGCAGCGGGTGGTTTGGAGAACCGTAGCAAAAATCCCTACCCCCCCCCTCCGCCCATGCCCAGCTGAGCCGCCGCGCGATCATCAGAGGCTTTTTTTTTTTTACTTTTAAAAGCATTTTTTCTACAACCTCTTCGGCCGAAGAGGACCGGCCCAAAGATTTCCACTGCTCTCCTCTCCTCTCCTCTCCTCTGCCTTCTTCACATCCGCACGTCAGGCACTGGACCCAGCTGTTCCTCCTCTTCCTCATCAGACACCTCCAGACCTGGGGGCTGTTGACTCTCCATCTGAGGGTTGACGGATGGCCCGGGCTCTGCGTCTCTCCCTCTCTCTCTCTTTCCTCTTCTCTCTCTCTCCCTCTCTCCCTCCCTCTCCCTCTCTCCCCTCTCTCTCCCTCCCTCCTCTCTCTCTCCTCTCTCTCTCTTTCCTCTTCTCTCTTTTCTCTCTCTCTCTCTCTCCTTTCCTCCCTCCCTCTCCCTCTCTCCTCTCTCTCTCTTTCCTCTTCTCTCTCTTTTCTCTCTCTCCCTCTCTCCCTCCTTTCCTCCCTCCCTCTCCCTCTCTCCCCTCTCTCTCCCTCCCTCCTCTCTCTCCCCTCTCTTTTCTCTCTCTCCCTTTCTCCCTCCTTTCCTCCCTCCCTCTCCTTCTCTCCCCTCCCTCTCCCTCCCTCCCTCCTCTCTCTCCCTCTCCTCTCCCCTCTTCTCTTTCTCTTCTCTCTCTCTCTCTCTCTCTGCCAGCTCCATTCCCTCTTCCCCCTCGGAGCTCCCAGGTTGCCTTGATGCTAACCCTGACTCTCACGCCTCTTCCTCATCTGATTCGGCTGCTGGAGGTGCCAGCGACCGACAGTCCACAACATTCACACCATCTGCTACTTTCATGATGGACAGCCTTCAACGGTACACCTCAAATCTCTGGCTACATCCAGGTCACCTACCTTTTTCAGGACTTGTCTTCAAGGCATCTGCATTGTCTTTGTCTTCAGGAGAAGAGACTAAGATAAAGAAGAGGGGGAAACAAGACTACTGACCAATCACTGATACTAAATACGTTATCCATTTATTAGAGGAGGGCTATTTTCAAGCGGTCCTCGACTTACAACCACAACTGAGCCCAAAATTTCGGTGCCTAAGCGAAACATCGGTTGAGTGAGTTTTGCCCCATTTTTACGACCTCCCTTGCCACGGTTGTTAAAGTGAATCACTACTGTTGTTCAGTTAGTCACACGGTCGTTAAGTGAAATCTGGCTTCCCCATTGACTTTGCTTGTCAGGTGGTCGTAAAAGGGGATCACCATGGGGACTGACATAATTATGAACTAGCTTCCAAGTGTCTGAATTTTGATCATGTGACTGTCGGGATGCCGGAATGGTCATAAGTCACTTTTTTCAGGGCCGTCGTAACTTTGGTCACTAAACGAATGGTTGTAAGTCAAGGAGTAACTGTACTTTGATGGTCTACGGGAGCGTTTCTCAACCTTGCCCACTTCTAAGTTGGGTGAAGTTCAAGAATTCTGGGAGTTGAAGTCCACACCCCTCTTAAAGTTGGCAAGCTTCAGAGACCCTGATCTACGGCAAGGAAGTGATCTTTCCTCGTTTGAGATCCTTCCATTAGAAGGATCTCTAATGGATCCATTAGAGCAGGGGTCCTCAAATTACGGCCAACAGGCCGGATAGGGTCCACTAAAGTCATTAATCCAGTCCGTGTGTGACCACGAAGCTGCTCCACGCACATCACCCCACCCACTTATCCACCGGCCCCCACCCACCTTCGGGAGGCCGAGGAGGCCAAAAATGGGATGCGCGGAGGCCTCGAGAGGCCAAAAATGGGCCTGTTTTTTGGCCTCCCCAGCCTCCAGAGAGAGAGAGAGGGAAGGATACACACACATACACACACAGGCACAGCAAGGGGTGAAATCCAGCAGGTTCTGACAGGTTCTGGAGAACCGGTAGCGGAAATTTTGAGCAGTTCGGAGAACTGGCAAATATCACGTCTGGCTGGCCCCAGAGTGGGGTGGGAATGGAGATTTTGCAATATCCTCCAACCAGGAGTGGGGAGGGAATGGGGATTTTGCACTATCCTTCCCCTGCCACGCCCACCAAACCACGCCCACCAAACCACACCACACCATGTACACACACAAACAGAAGTCCCTCATACACACCCCAAGGCAGCCTTCACACCCTTTCACTAATCACCTTTCCACCCCCAGGAGCATAACAAATCAAAGTTTAATTTGTGTGCATTGTTTAATGGACTGCCAAATAGGCCACGCCCACCCAGTCACATGACCATCTAGTCACGCCCACCCAGCTGGTCCGCCCCCCCCCCCAACACTCTGAGGGACCATGAATTGACCCCCTGTTTAAAAAGTTTGAGGACCCCTGCATTAGAGGGTCTCGGAATTGAAGTCCCAGGAATTGAACTTGAGACTCTCCACCACTGAGTTATTATGACCTGGTCTACAAGTCGACACCAACACTCTTAAGATGTTGGCCAAGGCTTCTTCAAGGGCTTGCAGTTAGCATTCTTGCACTTGAGAGAGAACGGATTCTGAGCTTCCTTGCAAAGGGTCAGCTCTCCCTTAATTCCCAGAAGACTTCCTTGGCTTTTTTTCACCGGAAGAATTTAGATTCGTGGACGCTTACCGCTTAGTTGACTGAAATGGATCAGTTCTTCTTTAGAGAGTTGAGAGCCTTTCAAAGGGCTGAGAGATTCCACCTCGGTAAAAGCTGCCAAGAGAAAAACAGAACCAGAGACAAGTTAAAAATCGCAACACGTGATGTGTTATTTATTCATTCATTCATTCATTCATTCATTCATTCATTCATTCATTCATTATCAAATTTATAGACCGCCCTTCTCCCGAAGGACTCAGGGCGGTGTACAGCCAAAGTAAAAAACATAGATACAAACATTAAAAGCAATTTAAAAAGATATATATAAATTTGGCCCCAAAGTTAAAAAACAATAACAAAACATATTAAAAACATTTAAAAAGCATTAAGTCAGCCCGGCTTGCTGAAAAAGGAAGGTCTTCAGGGCATGGCGGAAGGCACCGAGGTCTTGAATTCTTCGTATCTCTGGGGGCAGCTGATTCCAGAGGGCAGGTGCCCCCACAGAGAAGGCCCTCCCCCTGGGGGCCACCAGTCTACATTGCTTGGCCGATGGCACCCTGAGGAGGCTCTCTCTGTGGGAGCGCACTGGTCGGTGGGAGGTCGTTGGTGGCAGCAGACGGTCTCGAAGGTATCCAGGTCCTATGCCATGGAGTGCTTTAAAGGTGATGACCAACACCTTGAAGCGCACCCGAAAGACCACTGGGAGCCAGTGCAGCTCACGCAGGAGAGGTGTTATGTGGGAGCGCCATGCAGCTTCCCATCACTACCTGCGCGGCCGCATTCTGGACCAGCTGAAGTCTCTGGGTGCTCTTCAAGGGGAGCCCCATGTAGAGAGCGTTGCCGTAGTCCAGGCGAGAGGTGACGAGGGCATGAGTGACTGTGCACAAGGAATCCCGATCTAGGAAGGGCCGCAACTGGCGGATCAGGTGAACCTGATAAAAAGTCCCCCTGGCCACAGCCGTTAGATGTTCCATACATCACACAGCATGGAAGACTTAGTCACCATATGACTTTCTAAAAGGTGCTTTTTCAAGTCTTTCTGGTTTTTCTTTGAAGACGTTCTGCTTCTCATCCAAGAAGCTTCTTCAGCTCTTCTTCAGCTTCTACTCTTGCAAGAAGAGTTTGGACAAACTTTTGCTGGAATGGTGCAGGCTCTCCCAAAAGTGCCTTTTCAAGAAGCAACTGGACTTCCTGGTTTTTCTTTGAAGACGTTCTGCTTCTTATCCAAGAGCCGGCCGGCGACAGGGAGCCGCAGCAGAGGGATGAAAGAGCCACATGCGGCTCCAGAGCCACAGATTGCCAACCCCTGTCTTAGATTAATGGGTTTCCTGGCTGGGGAAGGAGCTGAGCATGGATTTCCCCCATGGTTCCAGTTGACGTGTATGGTTTTCAGCATGGAAGCAAGGACTAAACTTTATGTATTTTTAAACTAAAACTTTTTTTTTTTTATGCTGAAGATTCTTAACCGATGAGCCAAATTGGTTTAATCATTTTAAATTGCTTTATTTCACATTTTATATGTATCTTATTTTGACTGTTCACCGCTCTGAGTCCTTTGGGAGAAGGGCGGTATAAAAATTAAATAAATAAATAAATAAATAAATAAATAAATAAATAAATAAATAAATAAATAAATAAATAAATAAACGTGGCATCTCCACATCACTCACCTGGAGGAATGTGCAATTTGAAAAGCATTGTCAGCTTATGGGTGAAGCTTCCGTGATAGAGGACATCTAATAAAAAGAGAGGACAGGAAAATCATTAAAAACAAAGAGGTCATTCATACCCAATGGAGGTCCAGTCCAACCCCCTACTCAAGCAGGAAACACTACACCATTTCAGACAAATGGTTGTGAAATCTCTTCTTAAAAATATCCAGTGTTGGAGCACCTATAGCTTCTGAAGGCCACTCCTTCCACCGGTTGACTGTTCTCATGGTTAGGAAGTTTCTCCTTCGTTCTAGGTTGCTTCTCCCCTCGATTAGACTCCATCCATTGTCCTAAAGGTGGTTTTTTTTTCAAGAGGCACCTTCTGGTTTTTCTTTGAAGACGTTTTGCTTCTCTTCTTCAGCTCTGACTGGATGACGGGGATCGAGTCAGAGCTGAAGAAGAGAAGCGAAACGGTCTTCAAAGAAAAACCCCCAAGAGGCAACCAGTTGCCTCTTGAAAAAGTCTCTTCGGGACAAGCATGACCGGGATGACTGAGAATCTCCATAGGCACTTTCCCTCCATTGCTTCTTGTCCTGCCTTCAGGGGCTTTGGAGAATAAGGTTGACCCTTCTTATTTGTGGAAGCTCCTTAGATATTAGAAGACTGCTATCATACCCTTAAGTCCTTCTTTTCATTAAACTGGACATAGCCAATTCCTGCAACCGTTCTTTATAGGTTTCAGCCTCCAGCCCCCTAATCATCTTCGTTGCTCTTCTCTGCACTCTTTCCAAAGTCTCAACGTCTTTGTTATATCCTGACGATGCCATTATCGAGAAATAATTGAAAACTTTCTCCACAGTCACTGGACTGATCTAAACCAGCCAGATCTCACCTAGGGAGGGAAACTTATCCAATGCCAAGTCTCCGGATCTCTTAGCCTGGGATGTATTTATCACCATATCCCAGTGGTGAAATCCAATTTTTTTTTTAACTACGGGTTCTGTGGGCGTGGCTTGGTGGGCGTGGTGTGGCTTGGTGGGATTGGCAGGGGAAGGATACTGCAAAATCTGCATTCCCTCCTCACTCCAGGGGAAGGATACTGCAAAATCCCCATTCCCTCCCCACTCCTGGGGGAAGGATACTGCAAAATCCCCATTCCCTCCCCACTCCTGGGGGAAGGATATTGCAAAATCCCCATTCCCTCCCCACTCTTGGGGGAAGGATATTGCAAAATCCCCATTCCCACCCCACTCCAGGGGAAGGATACTGCAAAATCCCCATTCCCTCTCCCACTCCTGGGGGAAGGATACTGCAAAATCCCCATTCCCTCCCCACTCCAGGGGAAGGATACTGCAAAATCCCCATTCCCTCCCCACTCCTGGGGGAAGGATACTGCAAAATCCCCATTCCCTCCCCACTCCAGGGGAAGGAAACTGCAAAATCCCCATTCCCACCCCACTCTGGGGCCAGCCAGAAGTGGTATTTTGCCAGTTCTCCAAACTACTCAAAATTTCCGCCACAGGTTCTCCAAACTGCTCAAAAGTTCTGCTACCGGTTCTCCAGAACCTGTCAGAACCTGCTGGATTTCACCCCTGCCATACCCCAAACGGATGCAAATTCTTTGAAGTTGATCAGGCCGTCCACATTCTCATCCAGCAGCCGGAAGGTCCACAGGGCCAGAGAATCTCGGTTGGCACAGTGTGCCCATGGACTCAAGAGGTGGTACAAGGTTCGGAATTGCTGGCAGTCGATCCGATATTGATCCAGATAGGGTAGGCTGGCATCATGGTGCTTTAGGCCTGGACTATTCGGTTTCCAATAACAGGAGAGAAAATGTTCTTTCTGACCAAAAACAAGAGGAGGCCCAAATAAACAATAGCAAAATGGGACCATCTGGAGAACATATGTAGTTTTTCCATAGAATTATCCAGTGCTAAAATCATTGGCTATTAAAGCTAACAATCTTAACCTCTATCTAGAACAATGATGCCATCTCTGAAAAGTCCAGAGGTGGCACCTTTGGCAAAGTTCACCAGATGTTCACTCATTCAAATTATCCATCCAGGAGCTCAAGGACATTAATTTGAAGATCTCTTTCATCTTCATCATAGCAGCTCTGATGAGAGATTTGGGGATGGAACAGAATGATTGGCCAACTCGTCCACCGAATGTCCATGGCTGATGGTGGATTTCGAACACGGCCTCCTCATCTTAGTGTGAAGGCCATGGCTCTCGTCTTTCATGCTTTAACACCTCAACAATTCAATGGAAGAACTTTCTTCCAAGATCAACTGGCTTGATCATTGGGTCCGTTAGAAGTCATAATCGTCAAATAGACATGAAAAATCTTTGGCAAAGGCCAATGGTACCTTGAATAATTCATACAGTTCTTCCAGGTTTCTATGGCTGATGCTCAGATCTTGGGAGACAACCCGGAGCTAAGGACAGATGACAGGAAAGCAGGCAAGTCAATATTGGGTGTTTGAGGGATTGATTTACCTGTACATTTCAGCTCATGAATCAAAATAATTAATAAGTCTTCTGGTTACCGTAACTAAGGTCTTCTAGCTAGGTATGAAATTATACATGTAGATAGATAGATAGATAGATAGGATGGATGGAGAGAGAGAGAGATCGATGATAGATAGATAGATAGATAGATAGATAGATAGATAGATAGATAGATAGGATGGATGGAGAGAGAGATCGATGATAGATAGATAGATAGATAGATAGATAGATAGATAGATAGATAGATAGATAGATAGGATGGATGGAGAGAGAGATCGATGATAGATAGATAGATAGATAGATAGATAGATAGATAGATAGATAGATAGTTGGATAGATGGATGGATAGAGACAGACAGACAGACAGACGGATAGATAGAAAGATAAATGGATAGATGATGTATGGATGGATGGAAAGATAGATGGACAAATAGACAGATGATAGATAGATAGATAGATAGATAGATAGTTGGATAGATGGATGGATAGAGACAGACAGACAGACAGACGGATAGATAGAAAGATAAATGGATAGATGATGTATGGATGGATGGAAAGATAGATGGACAAATAGACAGATGATAGATAGATAGATAGATAGATAGATAGATAGATAGATAGATAGATTGGATGGAGAGATCGATGATAGATAGATAGATAGATAGATAGATAGATAGATAGATAGATAGATAGTTGGATAGATGGATGGATAGATAGACAGACAGACAGACAGACAGACGGATAGATAGATAGAAAGATAAATGGATAGATGATGGATGGATGGATGGAAAGATAGATGGATAAATAGACAGATGATAGATAGATAGATAGATAGATAGATAGATAGATAGATAGAATGGATGGAGAGAGAGATCGATGATAGATAGATAGATAGATAGATAGATAGATAGATAGATAGATAGATAGTTGGATAGATGGATGGATAGATAGACAGACAGACAGACAGACACAGACAGATGGATAGATAGAAAGATAAATGGATAGATGATGGATGGATGGATGGAAAGATAGATGGATAAATAGACAGATGATAGATAGATAGATAGATAGATAGATAGATAGATAGATAGATAGAATGGATGGAGAGACAGACACAGACAATTAACACCAGGAAGCAATTGATGCTTAATGCTAAATTATGCTCAACACCAGGACAATACCAATGACCAGAACCCTGATATAGACAAAACATAGTACCTACTCACCACATTCTGCTTAGTGGTGGTTTCCAAGGTTTGGATGACGTACAGTCTGTTGCGACGTCGCATGCTTTCTACTTCCTCGAATCGGATTTCACCATATTTCTGGAGAAGACCAAGATGCCATTTTACTGCTTATCGAGGCTGAATGCACAACACCTACACCACAATTTATATAGGAATTTATATTCCTTTGTATTCCATTTTTTTTGAAGGAAGGTCTTCAAGAAGACCCTCAAGGCTGCGATACGGCCAAGCAGGTGTGGGCTGCTGGGGGTTCGGGAGAACCTCTAGCTAAGATTCTGTGCAGTTCGGAGAACCCCCAAATCCCACTCCTGGCTGGTCCTTCCCACCCCGCCGCTCCCAGGAATCTCCATGCGGCCCGTTTTGGATGCAGGTAAGTGCGGGGCGCGCCCGGAGGCTCAGGGAGGGCGAAAAATGGGCCTACCGGAAGTTCGGGAAGGCCCATTTCTGGCCTCCAGAGGGCCTCCGGAGCCTGGGGAGGTCGTTTTCACCCTCTGGAGGCTCGAGGAAAGTCTCCAAAGCTTGGGAGGGCAAAAACACCCCCTCTGCCATGGTGCAGGAAGCCGACTAGGCCACGCCCACCATGGCCACGCCCACCCAGCAACCAGGCAGAGCACCCGTTGCTAATATTTTTGAAGGCCACTCCTGCAGCCATTCTTCTTCTAAGGTAAAGGCGGAGAAGAAAGGGTTGGACAAACCTCGTTGGACTCTCGAATGAGGTCCGTGATGTCCACTTTGGGGTGAGGAGTTTTGCTTTCGTTCATCCCAGAGGCCTGCTGAACTGCCGGAGGCAGCGGACTGTCCTTGTTGGTCACGCTCTCAAAAAACCTGGATTCGGGGAAAAGGAGCGTGTGAATGTGTTCCCTTGCCCGCGTTAACTTCTCCGTGTGCACACATATTATGAGCCAGTTTGGACTAGTGGTCAGGGCACTAGGCTAAAAAAAAGAAAAAACGGGAGATGGTGAGTTCTAGTCCCACCGTGGGCATGTGAAGTCAGCTGGAGACCGTCAATCACCAGGAGACCGAGTTATAGTCCTGCCTTAGGCATGAAAGCCAGCTGGATGACTTTGGGCCAATCACTAGGAGACTGGGAGTTCTAGCCCCACCTCAGGCATAAAACCTGGCTCAGGGATTTTGGGCCAATCACCAGGAGACTGGGAGTTCTAGTCCCACCTTAGGCATGAAAACCCACTGAGTGACTTTGAGCCAGTCACCAGGAGACAGAGAGTTCTAGTCCCACCCCAGGCATGAAAGTCAGCTGGGTGACTTTGGGCCAATCAGCAGGAGACTGGGAGTTCTAGTCCCGCCTCAGGCATGAAAACTCACTTTGAACCAATCACCAGGAGACTGGGAGTTCTAGCGCCACCTCAGGCATAAACCCTGGCTCAGTGATTTTGGGCCAATCACCGGGAGACTGGGAGTTCTAGTCCCACCTTAGGCATGAAAACCCACTGAGTGACTTTGGGCCAGTCACCAGGAGACAGAGAGTTCTAGTCCCACCCCAGGCATGAAAGTCAGCTGGGTGACTTTGGGCCAGTCACCAGGAGACTGGGAGTTCTAGTCCTGCCTCAGGCATGAAAACTCACTTTGAACCAATCACCAGGAGACAGGGAGTTCTAGCCCCACCTCAGGCATAAAACCTGGCTCAGTGATTTTGGGCCAATCACCAGGAGACAGGGAGTTCTAGTCCTGCCTCAGGCATGAAAACTCACTTTGAACCAATCACCAGGAGACAGGGAGTTCTAGTCCTGCCTCAGGCATGAAACCTGGCTGGATTACTTTGGGCCAATCACCAGGCGACGGTGACTTAAGTCCCGCTTTCTGCATGAAAGCCGGCAGGGTGACTTTGGGCCAGTCCCTCTCTCCCACCTCACAGGGTTGTTGTGGGGAAAAGAGGAGGAGAAAGGTCTGTGGGATATGTTCCCTGCCTTACTTCTAAAAATAATAAAAGTGGAAAACAAACAGACAAACATGCCCTCACCACTGCACAACAGGTAGCCCAACCCCTTAGCCCTAAACACAACCACCACAATCAGCCCCCGCCAGCACCTGCTGAGCACTGTGACCGCTTCCGCGTCGTCCTTACAAGCCACCAGCTTGTCCAGGTTGTAATCCAGCACGGCCAGGCCCAGCTGCAAGATGGCCTTGATCCCGTCGTAGAAAAAGCAATCGACTGCGTTGACGGCGCTCTCGATGGGCAGCACGCTGACGAAGAGTGTGAGGAACCAGGAGAGCGAGACGGAGGAGAAGAAAGTCATGTCGGTCATGTGCTCCGTCAGCTGAGGTAAATACTCGCGGATCAGGTCCTCAAACACGGCCTGATCGACCAAGGCGCCTGAAAGAGACGGACGGTTTAACCTACCAGTAGGAGCGAATTTATAAACCCACGTTTTGCAAAGGGAGACATCACAGGTTGGCCAACGGCTGCTAGTCCTCGACTTACGGCTGCAATCGAGCCTGAAATTGGCTCTGCAACCAAACAGGACAGACACACAGACTTCGACGGATAATCCTCACTTCACGATCATTTGTGAGCGACTAGAGTCCCTTCCACCTTTATTCTACTCTATCTCTGCTACTTCCCCCCTCATGAAAGCGACCGTCAGAGTGAAATCCAACGAAAACGGTACCGATAATCCGGCGGTTGAAATAATCGGGCAGCATCCGTTCGCAGACGGCCACCAGGAGCCAAAACGCTTCCTCTTCTTTGGCGTAAAGGAGCAGCACCGACGTCAATATATTCATGGCCTTTAAACAAACACGAATATTAATTATTATTATTATTATTATTCGTTTGGCCTTCTCTCCTTTCAGCGCCACCTCGCCGACATATTTCTGCATCGGTAACTAGGGCCACCGCAGGATGGCTGCAGGGTTTAGACCTGTGCGAGAGCACATTTAACAAACCCACTTTCCACACACACAGCATCGTTGGTGAGATTTAAATTGCTTGTATTGATTTATTAATTGTTACGTTCAGCAGTAACTCAATGATGTCTATCTTGTATTTGGTTCTCATTGTATGTATCCCTGTTTTCCCCTACTTTCACCATATCCTGTTCTTTCAATAAAGCAGCCAGATCTACGCACAAATTCTGTTTTATTGGAGGATAGGTGGGTTTAGCGGCATGTCGAGCTGCACACAGACTAATGTTTAATGGGGACAGAACAACAGTTGTAAGTCAAGGACCGCCTTTATCATGAGATGCTTCCACAGTCCCACACAAATAAAGACACCAAAAGTGTGACTTCGACAACGTGAGCCAAGTTGGAGACCAGAGGCGCAGCCTACCTGACAATAGCCGATCTTGGGGTTCCTGTAGGCGTAGGCGATGAGGACCCTACGGAGGGCCGAAATGCCTGTGTCGCTCTGGAAGGCGGGGTGTTCGGGCAGTGAGCGCCGCAGATCCCGCTCGATTTCGTCTGTCTCCAGGGTGCACGTCCCAAAAGATTTTTCCACCACCTCCGAGTAATAGCCGGGATGGCTTGCCATGTCATTGACAGCGCCTGCCCAGGGGCGTAAGGTGCACAGGAAAAAGACTTGTTGTAATTGCGCCTCGAATGACAAAAGCTTTGCATAGATCAGGGGGAGGAGTCTCCAAACTCGGCAACTTTAAGACTTGTGGACTTCAACTCCCAGAATTCCTCGGCCAGCTATGAGTTGAGCTGGACCTGAAGGAGGATGGACTTTTCCCCTCACTCAACGTTGACTGGATGCGACCTGCTGGGAAGGATCATCTGGAGATAGCAATAGCACTTATATACCACTTCACAGTGCTTTACAGCCCATTCTAAGCGGTTTACAGAGTCAACCTATTGCCCCCAACAATCTGGGTTCTCATTTTACCGACCTCGGAAGGACGGAAGGCTGAGTCAACCTTGAGCCTGGTGAGATTCGAACTGCCAAATTGCAGACAGCCAGCAGGCAGCAGAAGTAGCCTGCACTACTGCACTCTAACCACTGCGCCAACGCGGCTCATACAGATGTTCCTTCAAGTCTACTTGGGGACTATTTCTTCCAAGGAAGGCAGTATATCATCATCATTTTTTAACGACCCCATAATGATCCCTTGCAAGGTGGAGTCTGGGCAACTGAATGGAGCTAGCAAAGTGTTTACTGGCCGGATGCCTTTCTTGTTGCCAGTGCTGAGTTTTGTTCAGCAGATATATTCTCATTGTGTCCAGAGAGAGAAATATCACTAAGGCAGGCAGTATATAAAGGGAACACGATATACCTCATTATTCCAAATATGGACCATACCTGAGAACAGAAGCCAAAGTTCTCCTCTTAAGACTTCTGGAATTCCTCTGACCACCAGATCCCGGGTTTTCTTCGTCCGAAACATACTCACGCCCCGTCCGCACTCTATGAAAAGGATGTTCCAGGATTGCTCTTTCATTTTTTCTTTTAACTAATGGAACAAGGTGATCAAGAAGCCTCTTGAGCACAAAGTCACAAAACGCCGAGAAGACCATCAACGGGGTTATATTAAGGTTAACATTCAATGAGAAGTTGTTGGTTTTTTTTGTTTTGGAGAGAGAGAGAGAGAGAGAGAGAGGCAGAAGAATGCAAAACGAACAGGCCCTATCACAGATATTTTTTTTAAAAAAAAAAGATGGTTACAGAGAAAATGCTAGGGCACTGCGACCATCATGAATAGGAATCAGTTGCCGAGAGTCTGAATTTTGAACCCGTGACGGTAGGGATGCTACAAGGGTCGTAAGTGTGAAAAACCTCCGTGTCACTTTTTTTCATTCCCGTTGTAACTTCGGTCAGTAAATGAACTGTTTGTAAGTCCACCCATCCAGGACATATTTAAACAGAGGGAAAGATTCATATTAGGAGAAATCAAAAGTCAAAACATCTAGATCAGTGTTTCTCAACCTTGGTAGCTTGAAGATGGGTGGACTTCAACTCCCAGAATCCCCCAGCCAGCAGCGCTCTTTCGCGGTCAGTACTGACTTTTGCCCCCCAATCCCTCCCTTTCCGATCCCCAATTCTCTGCGTCTCATTGGCTATCTTCCAAGCCACTTTCCTCATCCCTTCTCCGTCAGATCACAGGAATGTCCCCTTCCTCCCATCTCCGAGGAGACAGAATCTTCAAAGGAATTAAGTAGGCAAAAGTTCAAGCTTCTCCTCTCCTTATATATGTCAGTGCTGGGACGCTGACATCAGGGATGATGGGTGGAAGGAAAGGGGGAAGGGAGGGAGCCAGAATGAAGGGAGGGACGATGAGAGGGAGGGAAGGAAGGAAGGAAAGGAGAGGGGCCAAATTGCAGAAAAGAGGTAAAACCTGACAAATTATATTCCTTAGAGAACAATCTTTAATAGACAGAAACCTTGCCCTGTTCACGAGAAACACTTTTCGCAGCCAGCGCTGCTGGCTGGGGGATTCTGGGAGTTGAAGTCCACCCATCTTCAAGCTACCAAGGTTGAGAAACACCAATCTAAATGAACATGGTGGGAGACCCAATTGGACGTTTCTGGAAGTCGAGAAGATCAAGGAAGGACCTCTTCCAAGAAGACCACTTCCAAGAAGACCACCAAGATGGCAGAAGCTCCGTATCAAAAGGAAAAATTCAGCCAAGCACGGAGAAAGTGAGATCTCACAACAGTTCTTGGTGTCTATGGACATTCTCAAGTCATCTAGGTCATGGTTGGCTTTTGATTTTTGGGATTTTGGGGTTTTTTCTTTGAAGAGGTTTCGCTTCTCATCCAAGAAGCCTCCTCAGCTTCTCTCAGAAGCTTCAGCTCTCTGAAGAAGCCGAAGAAGCTTCTTGGGGTGAGAAGCGAAACCTCTTCAAAGAAAAAAACCAGAAAGCCCAGTTGCCTCTTGAAAAAAAAAAAAAATAGCACCTTCGGGACAAGAGTTTTTTGATGTTGATGAGTAACCAGGATCTCTTCTTACCATCTTTGAATCCAGGTTCTCCGCATCGTGTGGGTGAAAAACGGTCATCAGGGCTTCCGTGCTAACGGTGGCGCTGCTGCCTTTGTGGCTGGCCATCGGCTGCCCCTCGTAGTCCTCCCAGACGGCGGTGGCCTCTGAGCTGATCCTGGCCTGCGAGAGGGATTGGAAGAAGCGAAGGCGTACAACTTTGTTAGAGAGAAGAAACGCGGGGCGCAAATCCAAACAACTAAGGATTAAAACTCTGCGGAAGCGCAGGCGTGGGCGGGCACAGGGGAGGGCGGGGCTCCCTTTTTGCCGTTTGCAGTGCCTCGCCCCTCCCCTCACGTCTTCAAAAACTGCGGTCAGCCTCTAAGAGAAGTCGCTACCTGAGCCACGGTGGCGCAGTGGTTAGAGAGTGCAGTACTGCAGGCTACTTCTGCTGCCTGCCGGCTGCCTGCAATTTGGCAGTTCGAATCTCACCAGGCTCAAGGTTGACTCAGCCTTTCCGTCCTTCTGAGGTGGGTAAAATGAGGACCCAGATTGTTGGGGGCAAGAGGCTGACTCTGTAAACCGTTTAGAGAGGGCTGTAAAGCACTGTGAAGCGGTATATAAGTCTAACTGCTATGCTATTTTCCTCCTTTCCTTTCCTTTCCTTTCCTTTCCTTTCCTTTCCTTTCCTTTCCTTTCCTTTCCTTTCCTTTCCTTTCCTTTCCTTTCCTTTCCTTTCCTTTCCTTCCCTCCCTCCCAGTGGTTAGAATGCAGTATTTCAGACTAACTCTGCCCACTGCCAGGAGTTCGATCCTGAGCAGCTCAAGGTTGACTCAGCCTTCCATCCTTCCGAGGTGGGTAAAATGAGGACCCAGATTGTTGGGGGCCATAGGCTGACACTGTAAACTGCTTAGAGAGGGCGTAAAGCACTGTAAAGTGGTATATAAGTCTAACTGCTATGCTATTTTCCTTCCTTCCTTCCTTCCTTCCTTCCTCCCTTCCTTCCCTTCCCTTCCCTCCCTCCCAGTGGTTAGAATGCAGTATTTCAGACTAACTCTGCCCACTGCCAGGAGTTCGATCCTGAACAGCTCAAGGTTGACTCAGCCTTCCATCCTTCCGAAGTGGGTAAAATGAGGACCCAGATTATTGGGGGCAAGAGGCTGACTCTGTAAACCGCTTAGAGAGGGCTGGAAAGCACTGTGAAGCGGTATATAAGTCTAAATGTTAAGGCTTCCTTCCTTCCTTCCTTCCTTCCTTCCTTCCTTCCTTCCTTCCTTCCTTCCTTCCTTCTTTCCTTCCCTCCTTCCCTCCCTCTCTTTCTTTCCTTCCCAGTTGTAGAATGTAGTATTGCACACTAACTCTGCCTACTGGCAGGAGTTCGATCCTGACCAGCTCAAGTTGACTCAAGTCTTCTGTCCTTCCGAGGTGGGTAGAATGAGGACCCAGATTGTTGGGGGCCATAGGCTGACTCTGTAAACTGCTTAGAGAGGGCGTAAAGCACTGTGAAGCGGTATATAAGTCTAAGTGGTATTGCTATCTTCCTTCCTTCCTTCCTTCCTTCCTATCTTCCTTCCTTCCTTCCCAGTTGTAGAAAGCAGTATTGCATGAGGACTCAGATGGTTGGGCGCCATAGGCTGACTCTGTCAACCCCTTAGAGAGAGCTGTAAAGCAGTGTGAAGCGGTATATAAATAAATCAAAGCGCTTTTGCGATTGCTATTCTGAACCCAATAAAGGAAGAGATCATCTAAGCCAGGAAAACCAAAGGAAGAAACCATAACTGGAATGCCAGCTAACAAAGATGAATCTTGTTGTGTGAATATTGACTCAAAGGTTACTCTAATCTGCAACAGGGTTAACTGTGCTGGGCAAACACGGCCTAATTTTTGGTAAGCACAGTAATAACTTCCTTATTTAGAGCTTTTCCCTCTCTGAATGGGCCCTTGAGAAACCCTTTCTGCAGGTCGAGGCCCTCATATCTGGTGGCGGAGAGTTCCACAGGCATCCGGGCCAAGGAAAGAGATCTCTGCTCCACGGAGTATCTTTTCCGGGCACCGCAAACAAGGAATAGGCAGATTTGGCCCTTAACTCTGCACTCGTGCTGTGTTGGGGGCTCGGCTGCCCTCACATCCAGTGACAGAGAGTTCCACAGGACTCTCACAGGCCAAGGAAAGAGATCTCTGCCCATGGAGTACCTTTTCCAGGCACTGCAAACAAGGAATAGGCAGATTTGGCCCTTAACTCTGCACTCACGCTGGGTTGGGGGTTCGGCTGCCCTCACATCCGGTGGCAGAGAGTTCCACAGGCATCCAAGCAAAGAAAAGAGTTCTCTGCTTTACGGAGCACCTTTTCCAGGCACCGCAAACAAAAAATAGGCAGATTTGGCCCTTACCTCTGCACTCGCGCTGTGCTGGGGGCTCGGTGCCGCATTATATCTGGTCCTGAGTTTCACCACCAGCGCTTCAAAATCTCTCACTTCCGAGAAACGGAAAGCCCGGGATCCTTTGGTAGCGATGGTGATGGCCTTGCTGGCGTGGTCAGCGATCTCAACTGAAGTGACCTGTGGGCGTTGAGGGAGGAAGAGGCTACAGTCACCCTCTCAGGTGGCCATTAGACCGAGAACCTACCAGCTCCTACGACATCAACTGGATACATCTCAAAAACGTTGATGGTTTGAAGCAGGATGAGACTCTGTTGTCAGGGTAGCCATGTTTAAACCTTGAAAACTGGCCTGCCGTTGAATCTCCAGCAGGGGTGGGCTCCAAAAATTTTAGCAAGGACTTCTCTGCCCGGTTGCTGGGTGGGCGTGGCCATGGTGGGCGTGGCCTAGTCGGCCTCCTGCACCACAGCAGGGGGTGTGTGTGGCAGTTTTGCCCTCCCCGGGCTCCAGAGGCCTTTCTTGAGCCTCCGGGAGGGCAAAAATGGCCTCGCCAGGCTCCGGAGACCTGAACTTCCGGTAGGCCCGTTTTTAGGCCTGCCCGAGCCTCTGCGTGCGCCCTACACTTACCTGCATCCAAAACAGACCGCGTGGGGACTCCTGGGAGGGGTGGGGTGGGCGGGGCCAGCCAGGAGTGGGATTTGGGGGTTCTCTAAACTGCACAGAATCTTAGCTAGAGGTTCTCCCGAACCCCCAGCGGCCCACCCCTGATCTCCAGGTGTCTACATGAACATATAGTCCGTTTCGTTGACCGTGTTTATTCCGGTTTGAGAGTAGCTTCCCCTGCCATTCAAGATGATCTTCAGCTCGCTTAAGTGAAGAAAAAAGTTGGGAACACAAACAGGACTTCGTGTCAACAGGAAGATGACCAACCTTCTCCGTCTCTGTGCCAGGATTCAGGTGCCAGGTTATAACTATAACACGCCAGCTTCCGTGCGTGAAGGGATATAGGCTTATGCGATAAAATATTGCTCCACCTACTATCAGGAAGTGTTTCTTGTGAACAGGGCAAGGTTTCTGTCTATTAAAGATTGTTCTCTAAGGAATATAATTTGTCAGGTTTTACCTCTTTTCTGCAATTATATTTTGGGCCCTCTCCTTTCTCCTTCCTTCCTTCCTTCTTTCCTTCCTTCCTTCCTTTCCTCCCTCCCTCCCTCTCATCGTCCCTCCCTTCATACCACCTCCCTCCCTTTCAACCTCCCTCCCTCCTTCCTTCCTTCCCATCGTCCCTCCCTTCATTCTGCCTCCCTCCCTTCCTTCCCTCCGATTCTGCCTCCCTTCCTCCTTTCCATCATCACTCCCTTCCTTTCCTTCCTTCCTTCCCTCTCATCGTCCCTTCATTCATTCTACTTCCCCCTCTCCCTTCCTCCTTTCCTTCCATCATCCCTCCCTTCATTCTGCCTGCCTTCCTCTTCCTTCTTTCCTTCACTCCCCCCTCCCTCCCTTTCATCGTCCCTCCTCCCTCCTTTCTTCCATCATCCCTCCCTCCTTCCATTCCGCCTCCCTCTCTCCTTCCATCATCCCTCCCTCCCTTCCTTTCCTTCTCCTCTTCCATCTTTTCCTTTCCTTCCCTCCGTCCCTCCATTCTGCCTCCCTTCCTCCTTCCTTCCTTCCATCCATCATCCCTCCCTCCTTTCCTTTCCCTTCCTTCCTTCCACACTCCCTCCCTCCCTCCCTCCCTCCCTCCCTCCCTCCCTCTCTCCTTTCCTGAGGAAAGACCAAGTCTTTGCCATCTAAGGTTTGACCCGAATGTTTGCAGAGAAGCTTCTGAAGTTGGGCCAAGGGCTCCTTCTCCACTCACCTCTCTCAGGGGGACGATGACACAACACAGGCAGCCATCTTGACTGGCAAAGCAGATGTAGTTTTCCGAAAGGCACATCTTCCCCAGGGTGTTGTAGTGGCTGAAGGGCACCCACAGGAAACACTCGTGGACCTCCCGCAGCGTCTCCTCGCTGGGCAGCCTGAAGAAGGCGTTGAACTGCTCGCTGTGCGCCCGATTCTCCAGTCCTCTAGGGGGCCAAAAGAGAAGACGACCTCTGAACAACGCAAATTCTCCCTTTACGGCATAATCTTAATTTCTTGATGATTGAAACGACGTTTGCAACTAGAATTCTTTCATTCCATTTTGGAAAAAAATTTTTTTTTTTTTGTATATATACATATACCGTATTTTTCGGAGTATAAGACGCACCTTTTTCCCCCCTAAAAGGGGGTGAAAATTTGGGTGTGTCTTATACACCGAATGTAGCCCCGCCCACCCACTGGCCCCCACCCTTTGGCCTCTGCTTCGCAGCAGTTACCTCCTTGCAAGCAAATAGCAAGAAAAAACAGCTCCTTTCAGCTTCAGCACGGGCTAATTAGCACAAGTTGGTTGGATCGGCCTCCCGACTCTCAGCTGTTTTGCGCAGGGCTCTGTTGCTTGCTGCAAAGAGGTAAATTGCTGGGAGCAGGGTTTTTTCCCCCTTGTGCTAATCAAGCTATGCTGAAAACGAAAATGAAAGTAAAGCAGGCTGTTTGCTGTTTGCTGCAAAGAGGCAAATTTGCTCAGAGGCAGAGGGAGATTGCTTTTTCTTCTTTTCCTCACCAAAAAAGGTAAGTGCGTCTTATACTCCGGTGCGTCTTATACTCCAAAAAATACAGTATTTATTCATAAACATTTTGAATACAGTGTATTCTCAGGGTGTATTGTTTACAAAAGAAAAACACAGAGAGAACAAAAACAAAAACATTAACACATATACTGGTAACAATACTAATAATGAAACAGAATAGTTTTGGCTAAGTTTCCTTTTGTATTAGCTTACTTATAATTCTGTTAATTATATTGGCGTATTTATAATTATAAACCATCTTTATATTGAATTCATAGATAGCAATGGTCTTTCTTCATCTAATTTCTACCTCTTATCTCTAACCACTCATAAAATGTATTCCATATCAAGTCATGTTCTGTGTCTTCTTTCTCTTCTATTTTTAAAGTCAATCTGTCCGTCTCTATCTGCAATTTTGAAAAAAATCCCCACACAGGTCTCTCTTTTGCTCTGTCCCCTTGCCAGCATGCAAGTTTTTCTTCTGGGCTCCGTCTCCAAATTACTGACCTCTTAGTGATTTGCAAGGGGTCGCAGAGGACCGGGTCAGCTTCAAAGCTCTCCTTGTCGAAGAGTCTCCGGACGGAGTAGAGAGCCAGCTGTTCCATGAGGAGGAAAGTCTCACCCAGGTGCAAAAACATGGAGAAGTAATGGTCCTCTCCACGGGCACAAACGTGGATGCTTTCTGTCAGGATCACCGTGGAGGTCTTTTCCAGTTTGGAGATCTCATCCCAGGCTATTATGAGTTTGACTGCAGAAGGGAGAATAACGGAGGCCCATATTTTTACTGAACGCTGACCACAAAATATATGCTTCAATAATGGCAGAGAGACTAAAAAGGTTTCTAAATGAATTTATACATCCAGGCCAAAATGGCTCCTTTCCCAAGAGACAGATTAAAAACAATATGAGAATGATTTTAAATACATTGGAATATTACGAAGCCCATCCTGGAAAACAAATGGCGTTGATTTTCTTAAGATGCGCAGAAAGCATTTGATAATGTAAATTGGCAATTTTACAACTAAAATTTATGGACTTTGTGAGAGATTTATTAACATGATAAAGGCAATATGCCATAAGCAAATGGCAAAAGTGATAGAAGAATAGAGTTGTTGGAAGGGATCTTAGAGTCTTCTAATCCAACCTTTGCTCAAGAAGGAGATCCTGTACCTATCTAAGGAGATTCTCAAGCCATCCAGGTCATGGTTGTCCCAAAGTTGTTTTTTCTTTCAAGAGGCAACTGGACTTTCTGGTTTTTCTTTGAAGAGGTTTCGCTTCTCATCCAAGAGGCTTCCTCAGCTTCTCTCAGAAGCTTCTTCAGCTTCTCTCAGAACTGAAGAAGCTTCTTGGGTGAGAAGCGAAACCTCTTCAACGAAAAAACCAGAAAGTCCACTTGCCTCTTGAAAAAAAAAAGCACCTTGGGGAGACCCTGTAACCTTCCAGCAAAAGTTTGTCCAATCTTTTTTGAAAAGTGATGGAGCACCCACAAAGTCGTTCCACTGATGAATTGTTCTGTCAGGAAATTTCAACTCGTTTCTAGGTTGATTTCTCCTTATTTCTAGGTTGCGTTCTAAGAGAAAAGCAATTCAGTTTCAGGTCTTCTCCTTGCTCAAACCTCAAGAGGACTTTTCCAATGAAGTCGTGAAGGTGCTCCATCCAGGTTCACAGCTTTTCCATCCCTTTGTGACCTTCCCACCATTGTCTATCTCGGTTGGACGTTTAAGAATTCGCTACCCAGAGGCCATATGGGCTTTATCTAAAGCGATCAGGAGATCTTCTGGTGTTCTGGGTGCATTCCGAGCTTCGTAGTTTTCCTGCAGACATTTCATTACCAAACTAGGTACCATCATCAGGATTTCCTTTTACTTTTATATACTAGTGGCTTCAAACACTGATGATGTACAGCTATAGAAAGGGTGACAAATCCTTGGCAACTTTAAGCCTTGTGGACTTCAATTCCCAAAATTCCCCAACCAGCCATTAGGACTTTAACAGATTTTAAGCCAAATCTTAAAAGTTGCAAGGTTGGACATCCCTGATCTATGGTTTAATTTTCTTCCAATTGTGTATTTTTATTTTTGCCCGGTTGTGTTTTTAGCTGTCGTTCACTATCCTGAGTCCCTGTGAAGAGATGGGCCGCCATATTGCTTGAATAAAATAAATAAAATTGTGCCTCGGCGAATGATCTTACTTACTCTCGGCTCCCAGCAGGAACGAGTAAAAGCTGAGGAAGTTGGTACTCAGATACAGCCAACCTTGGCAGGGCACCCGCCCTCTCCAGTAGCTACACGAGTAGTAAGTCACGAGTTTCTCCTGTTCGGCCAACCCAAAACACTTCTGAAACTTCAGATGGGCTTCCCGGAACTTCTCTGGATCTTCTTCTCTTACTAAAGACCCTTTATTCTCCTCAGCAATTAAGCCCTGAAAAAAAAAGGAGTCAAGAGGCTAACAAACATGAGCCAACAGTTTCCAAAAGTAATCTAACTGATGTGGGAGTTAAAGTCCCTTTGCCAAAATTTGATCGCCATCATGGTCTCCATTATGAAGCTACATGGAAGTAGGAACTTCCACCAAACGTTGGAAATGTAATCAAAAATCGGGCACATACTACCACCTGTGGCGGACGTGCCCAAAAGCAAAAAAAATAAAATAATCGAACGAAAATGCATACGCGGTTAGAAAAAAATGTTAAGGAAGCATATAGATTTTAAGCCAGAACTATTTTTTGTTAGGCATAATACCAGAAAAATATGATAAAGAGAATATATATTTGATATTGCAGGTTTTAACAGCGCCAAGAATTGTATTTGCGCAACGTTGGAAAAGCGAGGAAACACCTACAGAAGAAGATATGATTAGGAAAATATTGGACTGTGCAGAAATGGACAGATTAACAATGAAGGTAAAAGAAAAAGAAGACACAGAATATTTTCGAACTTGGGACTTGTTTTAAAAATGGTTGGACAACAGGGGTAGAAATTAATCAGTGGAATTAATCAATGGAACAACTTGCCACTAGAAGTTGTAAATGCTCCAACACTGAAAGTTTTTAAGAAGAGATTGGACAACCATTTGTCTGAAGTGGTGTAGGGTTTCCTGCCTAAGCAGGGGGTTGGACTAGAAGACCTCCAAGGTCCCTTCCAACTCTGTTATTCTATTCTACTCTTAATGCTATCCGCAGGAACTGAAGAGGGGTGGGAGAACTGAAAAGTAGAGAAACAATGATAATAACATAGATAATCCCATAGGAAATACAAGAACTATTTAGCGTCAGATCAGGAGTTGTCACTTGGGATGAGAAAAAGAAATCTTAGCTTGCTATCCCAGGTGTATTTACCTGGGAGAAACCAGAATGGACTCATGGTAAAAGGATGACCTTCTAGGTTGATATGTACTGGATTGCATTTGCCAGGCAATTAAGTAATAAACTAATAAAAACTCTACTGTCCCTTAGCCATCAATGAGGAAGTAAACCCAACCAAGAGCAATGAACTTTACTCTGAAGGAGGCGTTAAGGATAAAATAAAATGCGAATAGTGTCTCAATGCCCGAGAAATTATTCAAAAACAATCCTGGTTTTAGGAGATTTAACTGATGTTTGTGAGATTCTTCAACATTCAAGTTCAGGATTGTCCCAAAGATTGCTTTTCCAAAAGGCAATTGGACTTTCTTGGGTTTTTTTCTTAAAAACCTAGTTTAGTCTCCTTGGGTCACCTTAGTAAGACCACACCTAGAATCCTGCATCCAGTTTTGGTCTCTACACTACAAAAAAGATGTTGAGACTCTAGAAAGAGTGCAGAGAAGAGCAACCAGGATGATGAGGGGACTGGAGGATAAAACATACGAAGAATGGTTGCAGGAACTGGGCCTGGCTAGTCTAGTGAAGAGAAGGACCAGGGGAGACAGGCGAACAGTCTTCCAATATTTGAGGGGCTGCCACAGAGAGGAGGGGGGCAAGCTATTTTCCAAAGCTCCCAAAGGCCAGACAAGGAATAATGATGGAAACTGATCAAGGAGAGATTCAACCTAGAAATAAGGAGAAATTTTCTGATAGTGAGAACCATCAACCGATGGAACAGAAGTTGCCTTCGGAAGTTGTGGGAGCTTCAGCACTGGAAGCTTTCAAGAAGAGAACAGACTGTCATCTGTCAGAAATGGTGTACGGTCTCCTGCTTGCGCAGGGGGTTGGACTAGATGACCTCCAAGGTCCCTTCCAACTCTGTTATTCTGTTAAAACCCCAGCCCGAAGTTACTCACGATGGGCTTTTTACGTACTTGAATTTTCCCGTGCACAAAGCTTACGATGTCCTCGTTGGAGTCGAAGACGGAGAGAGTCTCCATCACATTGCGCTCTAACCATTCCCAGTGCTCCGTTATCTCTTCTCGGCTGGTTCCTGAGTGACAAAATATATATATATATATTTCAATTACCGTATTTTTCAGACTATAAAACACCCCCCCCCACACACACACACCTCATAAGTGGGTGGAAATGTCTGTGCATCTTATAGAGCAAATTACGGGCCTGATTTTGGCCTTCCGAATCCTTTGCGTGTCCCATTTTTGCCCTCCCCGGCGTCCAGAAGCACGCTGTAGTGTCCAGGGAGGGCAAAAACAGGACGCGCGGAGGGTTTGGGAGGCCAAATGCAGAGTGCTTCTGGATGGTGGGGAAGGCAAAAATGGGACGCACGGAGGCAAAAAACTATTTCTTTTCTTGTTTTCCTCCTCTAAACCTAGGTGTGTCCTTATGGTCCAGTGCGTCTTATAGTCTGAAAAATACGGTAAATATATTTGACGCTCGTTTTTGTTAAATTAAATTTTGTTTTTTAAATTTTTTTAAATTGATGTCTATTCTGTTTTTAAATGGGCTGTACCCTAACCCTGAGTCCTTCGGGAGAAGGGCGGTATAGAAATAAAATTATTATTATTATTATTATTATTATTATTATTATTATTATTATTATTATTATTATTATTATTATTATTATTATTGTGGGAGAAAACAGGAGGAGGAAGGAGGGCGAAATAAGTTTGCCACCTTGAGTTATTTGCAAAAACGATAAAACTGGGATATCAATACAGGTAGCCGTCGAAGTTACGACCACAACTGAGTCCAAAACTCCTGTCGCTGAGTGAGACCTTTATTCAAGCAGTTTTTGCCCCATTTCTTGCCATGTTTGTTAAGCGAACCACTGCAGGTGTTAAATTAGGAACATGGCTGTTAAGCGAATCCAGCTTTCCCCATTGAGTTTGCCGGTCAGGAGGTCGCAAAAGGGGACCACGTGAACCCCGGGAAACTGCCACCGTCATAAATGTGAGTCGGTGGCCAAGAGTCTGAATTTTGATCGTGTGATTGCAGGGACGGTGCAACGGTCACAAGTGTGAGAAATGGTCATGAGTCACTTTTTGGACAGGTTACTAAGCGAAATGTTGAGGTCTACGCGTAAATAAATCAGAATACACAAAATAAGAATTTATACTGTACTTTACCGCAGGCAATAGACCAGTAAATTTGGGAATCCGGAGTCTGGTGCAGGATACGGAAAGGGGCCACTTTTGATGTGGAATCCAAGACGGCGTCCAACGTCCCCACCAGGAGACCTGCAAGATCAAGGTCAAAATTCAGGGCACCCTTCTCAAGGACAGAGTCCCCACTCCCCACGGGAAGAGAAATGAGGGATTCCGTGACCCAGAAGGACAAGCGGTGAAGGAATCAGGATGTCAGGGTTCCAAGTAACACCCCCAATGAAAGAAGACGCCAAGGCTTGAAGTTCCTCAAAGTTCCATTTTATTAGAGATATCCTATTGGCACATCTGGGAAAACCGGAATCTGAAAGCTTCCAGGTTTTCCCCACCCAAAAGAAAGTTAAAGTCCCTTCCCCTGCACCCACATGTCCATCACATGGTCCAATCAAAGCACCATCCCAATTGGAGATGCCTCCCAGTTCCAACCCTCCAGGTGCAGGGCAAGATGACCTTGACTCCCTGAGAAAAGAATGTTATTTTGACTATATATCACCCATGTTCCATACAATCCCTTCTCCCAGTTTCCCACAGTAGTAAACATGGCAGGCCTGAAGATTCAATGCCAAAGATGGCTTCCAGGCCTGATACAAGGATGGAGACCAACATCTGGGGACTCCCTGCCCTCCCTGAGCAAAAGGAGGGGAAACTGGAAAATTTGGATTTTTTTTCTTGCAATCCTGTTTCCCCCTGCCTTGAAATTTACAGCTAGTCCCTCAAACTTACGACCACAACGGTGGTCACAAATTTCCGTGGCTAAGTGAGACATTCGTGAAGTGCACTTTGCTTTTGCTTGATCAGAAAAGGGATCACATGACCCCGGGAACATTGCCACCGTCATAAATGTGAGTCAGCCAAGGATCTGAATTTTGATCACGTGACCGCAGGGATGCTGCCATGGTCGTAACTCTGAAAAACGGTCATAAGTCACCGTTTTCAGTACCTTTGAACAGTCACTAAACAAATTGTTGTAAGTTATTATTTTTATCAATCGATTAAGCCTATAGGCCATATCAACGTACAAGATTCAAACACGTATTACCAATAAAATCCTAAACAAACAATTTAAAGTAAGAGTAGGGTAAAACACAATGGGTATGGGATAAAATACAATAATGTAATACATAAAATATGGTAAAATAGAATAAAATGAGATAAAGTTGTATTTCTGACAAAGGAATATTTTGAGTTCACGTTCAGAGGGTTTGTTGCGTTGAGGAGCTGGATCGGAACAGTATGTTGTGAGTTGAGGAATACCTGTATACACCTGTACTAGTCAGAAAGGTCATAGAAACGTTTTTTTTTAAAAAGGTACTGGCATCTCCAGGGCTTCAAAAACGCAAATCAAGACAATTTTGTGGGCATGCTGCCCATCTGTTTAGTTGTTTTAGTATTCACCAGTTTCCTCTTCTTTAAAGATCCAGTTTGACATGTTGAAGCTGTCTCAGATGGTAAGTCAACAATGACTGCCATTTAAGAAGTTCAACTGAGAGGCTCCTTTATTTATTATATTACCATTAGTGTTTAAATTTAGTTGATTTTTTTTTTTTTGACTACCCATTCTGCAAATACAACTCACTCACGGTTATAATAATTTGCAAAATGGGGCAAAATTCACTTGACCAACGTTTCTCTTAGCTACAGAAATTGTGGTCGTCCGTTTAGGACTACCTATAGAAGCCAAACTTCCTCTTAGCACTTGGGCAGGAGAAATACAGTATGTGTGGGTTTTTTTTATTTTATTAACCAATAACATTTGAATGCTCTCTTCCTCATTTATATTAATCCAAAGGAGGCTATAATAACGTTATGACAGTTTTATTTCTTTAAAATAAATATTTATTGAACGAGGAAGCCAGCAAAAATAATACAGACGCAATTACAGTGTCAACCAATCTTTGCTACTTGTCAAGGATGTCTGTCTGTCCGTCCGTCCGTCCGTCCATCCATCCATCCACTCGATCGATCGATCGATCCATCCATCCATCTATCCATCCAATCTAACTATCATCCATCCATCTACTCTATCTATCCACTCTATCATCCATCCATCCATCCATCCATCCATCCATCCATCCATCCATCCATCCACTCTATCTATCTATCTATCTATCTATCTATCTATCTATCTATCTATCATCTATCTATCTATCTATCTATCTATCTATCTATCTATCTAGCCATCCATCCATCCATCTATGTCTGTCTGTCTGTCTGTCTGTCCATCCATCCATCCATCCATCCATCCACCCACCCACCCGTGTTTCCCCAAAAATAAGACCTTGTGTTATATTTTTTTTCAACCCCAAAATAAGCGCTTGGCGATAGACTTGGTGAGTTTCTAATTATTCACATTCATGCTCCATGGCCCGCCCCCTTCCCATTTATTTCTGCATTACAGATAGATTTGTTGATTTAAGCTTAATGGTTCATCAGCCGTTTGCAAATTCGCTGGAAGACGATGACGGAACTGGTCTTGCAAAAACCTTTGCAAATACACACCCAGGAGGAGAGAGAGAATCAGCGGTTAAGAAAAGCAAATAGCAATTAAAAAAAAAAAAGTCTTCGAAAGTTTTGGAGCCTGGCAGGTATTAGTCTACTTCAAAAAACCGATGCACGTCACGCTAAAAACATGATAAAGAAATACCATTTCTCTGGCTGACGGAAGAGGCACGTGCCAAAAGTTAGCAAGGACAGTGGAGCTGTAGCAAAACCAAATTATTAAACTATATCCTCAACTTAGCATCTCGCTTAGTGACCGTTTCCAAGAAGGGAAATTTGGGAAATACTTAATTGTTCATGAAAGATAAATATTGTAGAGAATTTTAAAATGAGGGGAAAAAGTGATTTATAACTGTTTTTCACACTTATGACCGTCGCAGCATTCCCACAATCAGGGGATCAAAACTCAAGCCGCTTGGCAACTCATATTTTTGACGGCTGTGGCATCCTGGGGTCACGCAATCCCCCTTTTGCGACCATCTGACAAGCAAAAGTCAAGGGGGAAGCCAGTTGCACTTAACAACCGGGTTCCTGCAGTGATTCACTTAATGACTGTGGCCAGCAAGGTCGTAAAATGAGGCAACCTAACAACCATCTCGCTTAGGAACAGAAATTCCTAAGTCAAGGACTATCTATATTTAATTCACGATAAGGCGGGTTTAATTGCTGTCTCCTTCTGTAAATGTGTGAGGTTTAATTTAGGGTCTAGGGCAGTGATGGCTAACCTAATTCTATGGGCCCGGCCCCCTTGCATGCGCACGTGGCCCCCCCGTGCTCCCCCTTTTGGCATGCGAATGCATGGTGGGCCCAGTAGGCCCGTTTTTTGCTCCCCCCAGGCTCCAGAGCCTCTCTAGGCCTCCAGAGGGCCTCCAGGGGGTGGGGAAGGCCATTTTCACCCTCCCCAGGCTCTTAGAGAGGCTCTGGAGCCTGGGGAGAACAAAAAACGGGACTTCCCCGCCCCTCTGGAGGCAGGAAGCGGCCTGTTTCCCTACTTCCGGTGGGCCCAGAAGGTCCGAAAATCAGCTGAGTTCGCGTGCCCACCGATATGGCTCCACGTGCCACCTGTGGCACGCGTGCCATAGGTTCGCCATCGCGGGTCTAGGGTCTCCTGCTTGGGCGGGTGGGTGGGGTTGGGATAGATGACCTTCAAGGTCTCTTCCAACTTGGTAATCTGTTAAATCTGTTAAATTTACGGCAGGGTGGCTGCTGGGTAGGGAAATAAATGGAAGCGTTATATATACATCGCCTGGTGATGTACAAATAACATTTCGGTGAATTCAAGATGGCTCAGTGGCTAAGACGCTGAGCTTGTCGATCAGAAAGGTCGTCAGTTTGGCGGTTCGAATCCCTAGTCTCCTGCGTGAGCAGGGGGTTGGACTACATGACCTCCAAAGGTCCCTTCCAACTCTGTTACTGTTATTATTAGGAATAAAAGCCGGCTATATGTCTAATGATAAATAAATGATGATTCAGGCAGGAAAGGATATGAAAGTCCTTGGAGAATAAATATCCGATGTCCTGTTTCGACTGTAAATATCGTCCTTAGTCAGAGGTTTTATCTCCTCTTTGTCTCCTCTTGTAATATTAAAAATGACACTTCGACAACGGTCTTCGGAGGGAGACTCAAGTTACCGAGAAGTAAAACTGTTAAAACGAAGTCTAAAGATTCCTATTTTGGGCTCAGAATAACAGGAGAAGCGTTTTCCCGTTCTCCTTTCCGAGATGCTTCTCAAAAGGAAAATGGAACATAGGAAGGGCGAGATGAAGTATATGTTATTTTATTTATTTATTTATTTTTTTAAAAAAAAGCCGAAATGAATACCTTCGCCTCTTGCAGGACATGAATTATGGAAGAAGTGAATGAGCAGGGAAATATGATCGGCGCTGACTTTCACTGGCTGAAGAGAGGTTTGTAAATCCGCAGTATTAGTCATAAAGAAAAACCTGTGACTCAAACCCATCAACCTTAGCTAAATTATTGTGGTTTTTTTTTTTTTTTTTTTTTTTAACTTTGGCGATGTCTCTTCTTGGAATAAGACGAACAGCAAACACTTAGGAACTGGCCAAGGCCATTAATATTTCAGAGGCTGGGGAAGGTATGTTAGCTGCAAAACCAATCACCTCCGAAATAGGGGCAGGGAAAAAAAAACAAACAAGAATATATATAAAGGCATTAGAAAGGTTCACTTCCATCAGGCCAATGCCTTATCTGTCATCTTTATCCGACTTTCTCACTCAGAATAGAGTAGAATAGAGTAGAGTAGAATAGAGTAGAGTAGAGTAGAGAATATAAAATGTAGTGGAATGGAATGGAATGGAATGGAATAGAGTAGAGTAGAGTAGAGTAGAATATAGAATAGAATAGAATAGAATAGAATAGAATAGAATAGGATAGGATAGGATAGGGTAGGGTAGGGTAGGGTAGGGTAGGGTAGGGTAGGGTAGGGTAGGATAGGATAGGAGTAGAGTAGAGTAGAGTAGAATAAGAATGAATGGAATGGAATGGAATGGAATGGAATGGAATGGAATGGAATGGAATAGAATAGAATAGAATAGAATAGAATAGAATAGAATAG